GTTGTTCGTGTGGTCTGAACCTTTCTCTTTAGCCCAGGGAAGCCTTTCTTTTAGATTCTCCTGTCTCCCAAGCCTCTGGAATTATAGGAATCTGCCATCATGCCCAGCAGTGTCCTGGTATTTTTTTTATTAATAATTTACTTAAATTTGTTTTATGTGCATGGGTGTGAGGGTGTCAGATCCTCTGGAACTGGAGCTACAGACAGTTGTGAGCTGCCATGTGGGTGCTGGGATTGAACCTGGGGCCTTTCACAGTGCACAGGCAAGTGCACTACCACTGAGTTACATCAGCACTCTTTTTTAGTTTGAGAGATTTTGCTAGGACTGCTCAGCTGACCTTCAGCTCACTTTGTAGCCCAGGCAGACCTTCAACATGTGATCCTTCTGTTTTAGGCTTCCCAATAGCTGTTCCCAAGGAACTTCTTATTTTTGTTTGTTTGTTTTTAAAGATTTATTTATTTATTGTGTATACAGTGTTCTGCCTGCATGTATGCCTGCATGACAGAAGAGGGCACCAGATCTCATTACAGATGGCTGCGAGCCACCATGTGGTTGCTGGGAATTGAACTCAGGATCTCTGGAAGAGCAGCCTGTGCTTAACCTCTCAGCCATTCCTCTAGTCCCCTATTTTTTTTTTAAGACAGGAAGGATCTTATGTAACCCAGAGTGGCTTCAAACTCCATACATAGCTGAGACTGGTTTTGAGCTACTGACTTTCCTACTGCCATGTCCAAAGTGGTACATTTACAGGTGTGCACTACAAGGTCAGATTTACACAGTGGGAAAGATTGAACTCATGATCTCATACATTCTAGGCAAATATTCACCAAATGAGTGGCATCTCAAACACTTATTCTAGTACCAAGCATGTTTTTTGTTTGTTTTAGGTTTTTTTTTGGGGGGGTTGCTTTCTCAGTAGCTAGGGTTATAGGTCTATGCCACCAGGCCCAGTTCCTATAGCATTTATTGTTTTGTTTTATTTTATGTGGCCTGGAACTCACAGTGAATTCCACGCTGGCCTTGAACTCAGTGGCCTCCCATCTCACCTTCCAAGTGTTGAGACGGCAAGAGTGCCCCACGAGTTGTGGGAAAGTCAAGCCACGGCTTCGTGCATGTTAGGCAAGCATTGGTCAGCGGAGCTACATGCCCAGCCCCAGAGTCTTTATCATTATTAACAGCACAAGCTGGCATTTTGGAGGGCAGCAGGTTCCTTGCTGTGAGGAAGCATTTTTAGTATGAATTTTCAAGGGAAGGCTTGTGGGTTATGTTAGTGGTGACAGGAACAGAGACACAGCTCCACAGTATTACACTGCTACAGTCTCAGAAGTTCTCTTGATCTTTTAGGGACCTCAAGACAGGTTAAACCAGATCTTAGGCTTCAGAGTGGAAAAGAAATTGCGGGTCTATCCCAGTGGAGTTTTTTTTTGGGGTTTTTTTTTTTTTTTTTTTTTTTTTTTTTTTTTTTTTTTTTTGGTTTTTCGAGACAGGGTTTCTCTGTGTAGCTTTGCGCCTTTCCTGGAACTCGCTTTGGAGACCAGGCTGGCCTCGAACTCACAGAGATCTGCCTGGCTCTGCCTCCCGAGTGCTGGAATTAAAGGCGTGCGCCACCAGTGGAATTAAAGGAGTGCGCCGCCCAGCCCAGTGGAGTTTTATTAAAAATATTTTAATATAGATTTTAAGTTCAAGGGTTAAGAGAAGGAAAGGTACTCAGGAAAGAATAAGACATATCCAAGTTCACTTAAGAGGATCTTGGTGGATCTCTGGGAGTTCAAGGTCAGTCAGGGCTGTATATTAAGACACTGTTAAAATAAAAGATATATCCCTTCTTGGGTACCAGTCTTCCATAGGAAAGTCTCAATTAAATGTCTTAGGGTTGGACATGTGTAGTGTTTTAATGGCTTTCAAGTTTTAACTCAAAGGACTGCTATGAAATCCTCCCTCACCTTTTTTTGGCAGGTGAAGTTAAAGGGTGGCTGTGGAGGTGCCTTGAATGGGCTTATAATTTGATGAGGTAAAACCAGAACACTGGAGTTACACAAGACATTTAGGACATTACTTTTACTGTAAATGGGGTTTCTACTGAGATTCCTAGACAATGCTGGGAAAGGAGGTAGGCTTAAGCGATTTTGTTAATTATGTTGGAACTCCTGATTCTCAGCTGGGAAGAAACTTCAACCAGACTCAGATGTAGAACTTCTTTTCCTTGCCATGTCTTCAAAATTTCCCATCTCTCTATCCTGTCTTGAGGTCAAAAACGTGTGCACGGTTATCTAATGTTTCAGTAAACAGCTGCTTCTTGAGTGTGGGCTGTGTATACCTTATCTCATTCACTTATGTTTGTGAGGGTTACAGATGTGTGGATCTAAAGAAGATATAAATGATCAATGCTTCTTTGTTGATCAAAGTGACTTATGTCTGGATTTTGTTGTGGTCAGCATTTCTGGCCAGAGCTGCTCCAGGTATGACCTTTCCTTGGGACTTGGGACTGGGAAATCCTTATGAAGTGCATTTCTAGCTAACTTTAGGGTGTCATCTATAAAGACTTCAGTGGTCAGCTAACTCTCATGCAGCAGAGCAGGCAAGAGGAAGGAGAAACTTTTGAGAATTGGATCTCAATGGGGATAAGCATACCTCAGTACACAAAGCTATCAAGACAGCTCAGGAAGTAACGATACTTGTCAGTTCCATCCTCAGAACCCACACTATGATACCCCAACCAATCAATGCTAAAAATTTAACATACAATATTGTTAGTGTTTTTGTATCAAACTTGTGGGTCACAACCTGTGCCCCAAGACAGGTCCAGCCACCTGTCTTTAATAAGCCATGTTCCCTTCTAGAGCTGGGAGGACCCTTTCACAGGGGTCACAGCAAGGAAAAAGCAAGCCCAAGACCGAACACTTATTAACTATGTCTCCTTGAGGCCTCCCACTGAAAGAATGGCAGATCTGTGTCCCCCATCTCTGCAGTCCCTAACTGAGTTAAGGTCAGGTTCCCAATGCCATCGAGAGCTCTCTCCTCAACTGCCATGGTCACTGTTTCTCTATTGATCAATAATACCCCAATATTGTTGACCAGAACACCCAAAGACAAAGCCAGTCAACCACAACTGCACCAAGTGATTAAAAAGAACACCAAGTTGCCAAAGGAGTCCAAAGGCGAACAGAAAGGCAAAGCCTGAGGTGCACGGATGAGAGAGAGAGAGACTTACCAAATGTCTTGCTTTCTCAAAAATCCAAAAACAAAGTCCAAACTTGATTTTCTGCTTCCCAGAGTAGGGGTTAAAAGGGACTGGAGGGATGGGTCGGTGGTTAAGAGCATTTTCAGAATTTGGTTCTCAGCACTCATGTGGTGATCTACAATCTTAAGTAACTACAGTTCCATTGGATCTGATACCTTCAGGCTTATGAGGGCACCAAACACATATGTTGCACTTACATTTGTGCAAGAACCAGCCTAGCAAAAATAAAGATACTCTAAAGAGACATTTTGTGCCTCTCAGTCTATCACATTATTTACACAATGTATCTCAAAGAAATGGGAGTTTCTCCAGGAACCTCATGCAGGAAGAAGAAAAAACCAACAGCAAAATGGGGAACTTGTCTCTGGGAAACAGATTTAACAGTTTTTATAGGAAAAATGAGGCGGAGAGACAGACAGACTTGATTTAAACAGGCTAAGATTGTTTTATTGGGACAGCAAGAGGCCTCAATCTCTCCATAGGATGAAGGTTGAGCATACTTAGAGGGACTGTGGCACACATACACACATACCTGGGTAGCTACCAGGAAGTTATTGTATTTTTTGAGGTTTGACCAGGAGCAGACTAGGTTGCTTTCCATATCTAGACATACTGTTTCAGGAGGTGGAGCTGAACGGTTAGGCTGGAGCTAAGCCATCCTCTATGGCTAGGAGCTATTATCAGGCATATAGTCTGACTAAATTCCTCATGCTGAGGATATTACCTCTAGCATCTTGTCAGACCCTTACAGAATGAGACCTGAGCCCATACAATGATGAGTCAATGGTGAGCAGGACCACACCTGCATTGGGCTGCTTAGATATGCATTTCCTTCATCCTCTATTCAAACTTTGATTCCACTTCAGGACCCCGAGGACTGACATGGGTGGTTTGCTGCATCTCTGTTCCTTTCCCCAATGTGCCTAGATTGAATAAATCTCATATTCCGCTTGCCACTTTCATTTAGTTAGCTTTTTTGTTTTTGTTTGTTTTTGAGACAGGGTCTCTATATAACCCTGTCTGTCCTGGAACTCGCTCTGTAAACCGAACTGTCTTCGAATCCGGACATCTGCCTGCCTCTGCCACTGAATGCTGTGATTAAAGGCGTGAGCCACCAACGCCTGGCTTCCTTTTCATTTTTAATTTGGCTCTTTTAATTGCCTTATTGAGAACGGGTGGCTGGAGCTGACTTGTGACACAGGTTGTGACCCCAAACAGGACAACACTTTAACAGAAGTGTACACAAGGTATGCAGCAACTCGGCTGTGTGGACTACACGGAGCGATTGAAGAAAGCCGGGATGGATTGCTATCTAGTTCGGTGGATCTCCAAAGGCAGTTTCAGCAGAAGAGGCTTTCTGGATTCACACAGGACAGTTCTCAAGGGACTGCAGGGAAGAGGAGGCACGAGGGGCCCAGACATGTAGAAGTGAAGAGGCGTTAGTGGTGCCTATATCCTATTTGAAAGGCAGAGGATTGGTGTTCGCACGTGAGGGCGGGATGCAAGGAGAGCGAAAAACTCGCTCACAAATGACAGGAAATTTCAGAAACGGAACACTCCCGGGGACTTTGTGGACCAAAAGCCTCAGGTCGTCCACCTTTAGGATCCTCCTCGGGGCTATCTGAAACCCTTGTGTCTAAACACCTACTTTGGCGCGGGACCGGAAAAGTAGATGGACCCCCCCACCGGAAGTGTGGAGAACCCGGTGGGAAAAATAGACGGACTGAGCGGAAGCCCGTGTGGGTCTGAGAAGGTGAGCTGCCCTTTCTCACAGGTGGGAACGCAAGGGACTGGGAAGCCCGAAGGAAGCCTGGCAGGAGAGGGTGAGGGGCTTCCTCCCTCCGAGAGCACCCAGCTTCCGGAGGCTGGGGCGTGGTCGACTCCGCGCGCGCCGAGAGGTCAACGCCCGGTCTTGAGTGAGTTTTGTCTCTAGTGTGTGACCTCAAAAAATCACCTTTCCTTTTGTCTTTGTGATTGGAATAATACTAGTGGTACCTATCTGAGGATTATTGTGAGAACTCAATAAAAACACACGCGGAATAGTTTCTGGCACACTGTAAGCCCTAGATTTGCTATACGTAGGTGTAGATACTGGAGTCAAAACTCATCGTTAGCTTCGGGCTGCTGTCGTCCGATTACTGGGTTTGACTGTACTTATTGCAAGAAATTATTAAACAAAACACGAAGTTGTAGTATTATTAGAAAAGTAATAAGACATCTGAATGTTTGGAAAACAGTTAAGTAATTGCTACTCGTAATCCCACCATTTTACCTGTTTACTACTTGAAGCCCTTTTATCTCTCAACCTTTTTGTCTTAAAATAGTTTTTCTTTCTTTCAAAAAGGGTCACATAATGTCCAGCGTGTCCTTGAAGCTTCTGTGTATCAGAAGATGACCTTCAATTCTTGGTCCTCGTGTCTCTATTTCCCAAGTGCTGGGTTTTGTAGTCTGCACCCAAATCTGACCAGAACTTTAATATTTAAAAGGTGTCCTCCTTGAGTTAACAAGGCTTCACCTGGGAGACAGAGGCAGAAGGATCAGGAGTTCGAGACCAGCCTGGGTCACATGCGACTCTTACCAAAAAGAAAAGGAAATACAGAATCTCTTTGGCTGGGCATGGTAACAAATGCCTGTAGTCCTAACACTTGGGAGGTTGGGGAAGGAGGATTAGAAATCCAAGGCCCTTATTTACTTTATTATAAGCTAATATTTTGCCAGGTTGTGATGTCACATGCCTTTAATCCCAGCACTCAGGAGGCAGAGGCAGGCAGATCTCTGTGAGTTCGAGGCCAGCCTGGTCTACAGAGTGAGTTCCAGGACAGCCAGGGCTACATAGAAAAACTCTGTCTCAGAAAATCCAATAAATAAATATTATGTATGGTGTGTGTGTGTGTGTGTGTGTGTGTGTGTGTGTGTGTGTGTGTGTGTATACGTGTGTGTACGCACGCGCATAATGGATGTATATGGGCACTTGTATGTGTAGAGGACAGAAGAGTTTTGTGGCGTTAGTTCTCTCCTCCCACTTTTATATTGGTTCTGGGAGTTGAACTCGGGTTGCCAGGCTTGTTCAGCGAGTATCTTTATCCGCAGAGCCATCTTACCAGCCCTTGTCTCACATGATTCTGATGTGGATTAAATATATGTCAGAGAATCTGTAAGTATTAACAGTGAGGTTTAACCGTGATGGTATTACTTAGGTCTATCATCTTTCCTTTCTTTTTCTTTCTTGCTTTTGTGATTCTTCAAACAGGGTCTTATATAGCCTGGACTGGACTTGAACTTGTTATGTAGCCAAAGACGACTTCCTGATCCTAGCTGCCAAATGCTAAGATTACAGCCCTTCACCACCCTGCTTAGGTCTACCTTTGAAGTGCTCAAATAGTAATACCAGTGTGGGCCTTGGCCTACAAATTTGTCAAACAGAAGATCTTGGGAATCTCATGTACTGAATCAGAGAGCCTCTGTGACTACCATTCCATCTCTCAGAAGCAGCAGCTCTCAGGGTAGGTACGGACTTAATACCTGAAGAAAGAGAGGAATTGGTTCAGTAGTGTGAAGCCTCTGCTCCAATATTCACAGGCTAAGAGTAAACAGAACCAGCTATCACTGCTGCCTTTGGCTCTCTGCAATGCTCATGTTAGGCCTTCTTTTTATAGATAAAGTACTAGTGTCCATACCATTTGGGCCAGGCTCTAGACTGAATTACTCGAGTTTACTTTTTTGAACCTATTGTTTCTTTAAAACTCCAGAACGAAGAAAATTTAATAAAAAAAATAAATAAATAAAACCCTGCCAGTGGCAGTAACACACACCTTTACTCCCAGCACTTGGGAGGCAGAGGCAGGAGGATCTCTGTGAGTTCGAGGACAGCTTGGTCTACAGTTTGAGATCCAGGACAGGCACCAAAAACTACTTGGAGAAACCCTGTCTCGAAAAACCAAAAAGTAAAAAATAAAACCCCAAGAAAAAGCTGCTTTGAAGTTGACACCTCTTGAGGCAGCTTGTGGCACATACTTGAATTATTTGGGGGTTGATCGCCAGCTCTGTGAAGCTGAGGTTTTGCTTTAGTCATGTTGGTAGTTTGGTTTATTTAGTGATAGGGTCTCATGTAGCCCAGCTGTCCTTGAACTCACTAGGTAGCTGAGGATGACTTTAAACTCCTGATCATCCTGCCTTCGTCTCCCAAGTGCTAGGGTTACAAGTATGGTGTCACCATACTTAGCCATATTGGCACTTTTTTTTTTTTTTTTTAAAGACTTTATTTTATTATTTTAAACTATTTCTTTTTTTTTTTTTTTTAAGATTTATTTATTATGTATACAGCATATATGACTGCAGGCCAGAAGAGGGCACCAGATCTCATTTACAGGTGGTTGTGAGCCACCATGTGGTTGCTGGGAATTGAACTCAGGACCTCTGGAAGAGCAGTCAGTGCTCTTAACCTCTGAGCCATCTCTCCAGCCCCGGCACTTTTTTTTATTATGATGCATAAGATAGTACTCTGCTTCTAAAAGCCACTGCTGAGTAATTAGTGGGGGGGGGGGAAGCCTATGAATTATACAGTATATGGTCTCTGTTGAGTTTGAACTTCTGATTCATTCATTTGTTGCTCTCCTGATAACCAATGTTTCTTCTGCTATAGGTGGAATTGGGCTGATTACTGAAGCTTATTTTGTCAGTCCACGGAAATTTTTACTTTTTGACTTTTTTCTCACAATGGCTTCCTTTCACAAATTACTGACTGGCACTTACATTCATAGAAACTTCCTGAAGCCAAGGGCTGCCTTGCATCCATTTATAGGTGTTCACTTTGTACACTGTTCTTCCAGTCCTCTTCAGAAACAAGTGGCTCCTGCTGACAGAGTCTCCCAGCAAAGGAAGACTGAAGAGGGTTTACAAGAGGGTCACCACAAAGAGGTTGCTTTGGATATAACTTCTCCTGACAAGAAACCCGAAGTTAGCTTTGATAAAGCAATTAGAGATGAAGCAATAGAACATTTAAAGCGTTTGAAGGATGAAATTATGGCTCATTGGATAGGTCCAGAAGGCCGCCCAGTACACGAGGTCATAATGGAGCAAGCCAGGGTTGTCTGGCAGTTTCGTGGAAAAGAAGATTTGGAGAAGTGGATAGTGACTTCTGATAAGACAATTGGAGGCAAAAGTGAAATATTCTTGAAAATGGCCAAGAACAACCAAAGTGCCCTGCTCTATGGGACGCTGAGCTCTGAGGCACCTCAAGATGGAAAAAGTACCCAAAGTGGGTACTGTGCAATAGTATCCAAGATTCCAATGGTAGGTGAGGCCTGGAAGCTAATTTTCTAGTGACTTTGATTGTAGCATGAACTATAACAGACAGCTTGCTTTTCTGTAAATGAACACATCTGTTTTGTTATATATAGGCATCTTGCCTCTAGGGATAAATAACTACTTGGCCTGAGTGTAAAATGGGGCAGCCTTGTTTCTGGGCATTGTTTGGGGTCTGAGAAGAATGGGGTGTGTCTGAGGAATCCTGAGATAATAGACTTTGAAAGGTATCTAGGGAGATTTACATCTCCAGCTTGGATTAAGTAGGGTCACCCTGTGGCCTTTTTTGGTTTTGAGACAGGGTCTCATTCAGTTTAGGCTGGCCTGGCACTAATTATGTAGCTGAGGATGACCTAGAACTCCTAACACCCTGCCTTGACCTAAATGCTGATACTAAAGTGATGTGCCACCATGTCTGGTACTCGTATTAATATTTGACATTGCTGTGCTGGGGGCGGCTCAGTCAGTACAGTGCCTGCCACGCAAGCTTGAGGACCTGGGTTTGATCCCCAGTGCACACATAAGAAGCTGGGTGGGCATCATGCTCCTCCAAGTCACAACGGACTGCATGTGTTTGTTTCATGGCTGTGTATACATATCTGTTGTTATTTCACTGTGTCTGTGTTATACTAACTGTGGATACATTCTGTTGTCCCTGACTCTAGTACCATGTGGTTCATTCTAGCCTTTCATCTCTTACCTGTAACTTGCCTCTCTAACAGCAATCTTCATCCTCTTGACATTCACTTACTTATTAATCCAACCCCAGTAAATATATAATGCAGTTTAGATTTTCTGTAGTTGTGTTGCCCAAATTAGTCTTGAATTCCTGGGCTTAAGTGATCCTCCAGCTTCTACCTCCTAAGCAGATGGGATTACAGGTATGCACACAATGCTTTGTGTCTGTTCTGCATTGGGGATCGGACCCAGGGCTTCAGTATTCTATGCAAGTGTCAAAACTTTAGCTATGCCCCAGCCCCAGTTTCAGAATTCTTAACCAAAAGCCCTTTCAGAAATCACATGTTAGATTGAAGTGTTTAAGCTGGGCCTGATGATTAGGCCTGCAGTCCCAGCAGTGTGGGAGGTAAAGGCAGGAGTTTTGCCAATTCAGGGCCAGCCTAGGCTACTGAGTAAGTTCAGGACCAGCCTAGGCAAATTAGTGAGACCCTATCTCAAAATAAAAACCTTGGGTGTAGTAGTGCATTCTTGTGATCACTGCATTTGGGAGGAGCCTGGAGGATTGGAGTTCATGTTAATTCTGAGTTATAGTGAGTTCTGGGCTATATGAGGCCCCATCTCAGAGAACTACCAAGTCCAAGGAGGGCCAGAGTAGTAGAGTGCTTACCTAGCATGTGCAAAGCCCTATAACCAATCAGTACTCCATATTACAAAACAACAAAAAAGAACGTTGTTCATTTTTAAATTTTCTTTTCTTTTTTTTTTTTGTTTTTTGTTTTTTGTTTTTGTTTTTTGAGACAGGGTTTCTCTGCATGTAACAGTTCTGACTGTCCTGGAACTCTCTGTAGACCAGGCTGGCCTCGAACTCACAGAGATCCGCCTGCCTCTGCCTCCAGAGTGATGGGGTTAAAGGCGTGCGCTACCACCGCTGCCTGGCTCACAGTTTCTTAAAGTTTCTGTCTCAAGTTCTGTCCTGAGTCCCTGTCGGCCTCTGGCTGTCTCCGTGTGAATTCACCGCTGTCTCTGGCTGGCTGTCTCCGTGTGAATTCACCGCTGTCTCCGTGTGAATTCACCGCTGTCTCTGGCTGGCTGTCTCCGTGTGAATTCACCGCTGTCTCTGGCTGTCTCCGTGTGAATTCACCGCTGTCTCTGGCTGGCTGTCTCCGTGTGAATTCACCGCTGTCTCCGGCTGTCTCCGTGTGAATTCACCGCTGTCTCTGGCTGTCTCCGTGTGAATTCACCGCTGTCTCTGGGCTGTCTAGACGGGGCTGTACTTCAGCTTCAGCTGCAGTCTGGTGGTTTACGTGGACGTTATGCATTAGGGAAAGCAAATGTAGGAGCAGCATTAGACTCTGTGAAACAGTGGGAAGCTCCTTGTTCTTTCAGATGTAACCAGTGACACACAAAGTCGTTTTTTTTTTTCCAGTCTCCCCTCAAAAAATCCATGGAATAGTTATGGTCAGTCAGAGCAGAAAGTAATTCTGTAGCCAAACACCCCCACCCTGTGAAGTAATGAAACTAGTAGATAAGTTTTTTGTTTTTAAGGTGGAATCCCCCTAAGTAGCTCAGGCTTGCGGTAAACTCACATCATATTTCCTGCCTCTGCACCCTAGGCACTGGGATTACTGATGTGAGCCACCACGCCTAGTCTAACGTGTTAGTATGTTTTTCCCATGCTGGTGCTAAGTACTTTATCTACGTTCTCCACTCATCCCTCAAAACGGTCCTGAGAAATGAGATCATCCCAGTGTTACTGTGAGGAACTGAGGCTTTGGGAGTTGGTGATTCTGCAGGGATGCAGCTAGTGAGAGGGCGTGAGCATTAGTTCATGGCTGAGCATTGACATCTTGAATGCCAGTTGTCCTTGAGAGTGCTATAAATAAATAAATGCCTAGGGAAATGCATCCTAATTTCCTTTCCTTTTCTCTCTTTTTATTATTTATTTATTTAGAGACAGTCTTACTCTGGAGCACAAGCTGGTCTGATGGCTGTGTAGCCTAGGCTGACTTCAGTCTGTCAGGAATCTTTTTGTCTCAGCATCCTTAGTGTTGGGATGACAGGCATGTGCCACCACATCTAGACCTTAACTTCCATTTTTGAAGAGAGTGACAACCTAGGCAGTTAAACACAGATTTGGGGCTTAAGCAGTGCTTGTACTGATTAGCTGAGTACTCGGTTGTCTATGAAATGGGGTCAGACATCTTGATATCTGTATTTTAGGACTGTGAGGAGGATTAAAGGAAATTATGCATGTAAATTGTTTGAATGGATGCTAGCTATTATTTAATGTGTGTGTGTGAGAGAGAGAGGGGAGAGGAGGGGATGAGAGGAGTGTGTAAGCATGTAGAGGCCAGAGGGTAATGTTGGAATGTCTTGCTGTATCACTGGCTGCCCTGTTTTTGGAGACAAGGCCTCCCTCTGAACCTGTAGTTCACCGCTTTGTCTAGACCGGCTGGCCAGTGAGCCCCTGGGGTCTGCCCTCTCGGAGAGTGCTGCAGCCACAGGTGGATGCTACCACTTAGTTTTGTACTGTGGGTGCTGGGGATCCGAACTCAGGTCCTTATGCTTTTGCAGCAAGCACTCACTGAGCCATCTTCCCAGTCTCTTGATTTTTAAGACTTGAGCTTGATTTTTGATGGAGTAAAATAGTTGTCATAAAATGGGCCTCTCAGAAGCCGTTGTTTCTTAGAACCAGGGAAGAAGAGTACATTAGTTTCCATCTGGCAAACACAAATGAATGTCTGTCATACGGAAACATTGTCCTAGGTTAATCATGCCTTGAACATTACCTTAGAAACATATGTCAGTGTTTTATACTAAAATACTGGTTTATTTGCCTTCTTGTGGTAGAAAATGTGCATAGACCGCCCTGTTGGGTTGGCAAGATGGCTCAGTGGGTAAGACACTGCTGCTAAGGCTGAAGACCCAAGTTCAGTCCCTGACCCCACATGGAGAAGGCAAGACTGACTGACAGAAGTTGTCCTCTGACGTCCATATGCACTCCCCCCGCCCCTCCACCGCCCACCGCCCGGTAATAACACACTGCTGACTTGCTGAGGGCTCCTGCCATACTAACTTAACTTTCTATACCTTAGGGGGCTTTTCTGAGGAGGCTGTCTTACGATTGGTCCCAGTTCAACACTCTGTATCTCCGAGTTCGTGGGGATGGCCGGCCTTGGATGGTGAATATCAGGCAAAGCACAGAATTTCTCCAGAGAAAAAATCAGATGTACAGTTACTTCATGTTCACCCGTGGGGGGCCCTACTGGCAGGAAGTCAAGGTAAAATTTCAGTTCTTCACTGTTGAAAGTATGGTTACATTGTAGTTTCCTTTTTCATACTAATCATTCTTTTCTCATTTATTTTTATTTTATGAGCATTGGTGTTTTGTCTGCATGTATATTTGTGTGAGGGTGTTGGATCCTCTGGAACTGGAGTTACAGACAGGTTTGAGCTGCCATGTGGGTGCTGGGAATTGAACCCAGGACCTCTGGAAGAGCAGCCAGTGCTCTTTAACCACTGAGCCATCTCTCCAGCCCCTACTAATCATTCTTACATAAAATAGAGGCAGAATGAGTAGAAGTGAGAGGACCTTGGGAGAGATTTAAAGGACAAATGTTTTGTTTTTTCATTAATAAAATTGAGCCAGGCTGGGTGGTGGTACAAGCCTTTAATCCCAGCACTCAGAAGGCAGAGGCAGGTGGATCTCGTGAGTTTGAGGCCAGGCTGATCTACAGAGTGAGTTCCAAGACAGCCAGAACAGTTACAGAAAAACCCTGTCTCAACTCCCCTCCTCCCAAAAAAGAGTCAGACCAGGTGGCACATGCCTTTAATCCTAGCATTTTGGAGGCAGAGGCAGGTGATTACTGTGAGTTTGAGGCCAGCCTTGGCCTACATAGTGAGTTCCAGGACAGCCAGGACCGCATAGAGAGACCCTAACTAAAAAAAAACCAACCAAACAATAAATAAATAAAATAAGTTTATGTATGTATGTGTCTTAGTTTGGGTTACTATTGTTGTGATGCAACACCATGACCAAAAGCAAGTCGGAGAGGAAAAGGGTTATTTCACTCACACTTCATACAACAGTTCATCATCAAAAGCACTGAGGGCAGGAACTCAAGCTGAGCAGGAACCTGGAGGCAGGAGCTGACACGGAGGCCATGGAAGAGTGTTGCTTACTGCCTTGCTCCTCATGGCCTACTCAGCCAGCTTTCTTACAGACCCCAGGACCACCAGCCCAGGGATGTCCCCATCCACAGTGGGCTGGGTTCTCCCTCATCGATCACTAATGAAGAAAATGCTCCACAGGCTTACCTACAGCTCAGTCTTGTGGAGGCGTTTTCTCAATTGAGGTTCCCTCCTCTCGGATGACTATAGGTTGTGTCAAGTTGGCATAAAACTAGGCAGCACAGTGTGTTAGCTTCCTAGCCAGTCTGCTTGTGTGTGGAGGAGGAGTGTTTGGGGGTGCTCTACCACTGACTTACATACCTGTCTCAGACAAAAGGACTAAGTCTTCAGATTTGGCTTTTTCCTGTGATGCATATAACTAGCGTCCTCCACCCTCACCCCATACAAGGATTGCAGCCAGGGCTTCTCACTCGCTGTGAGAACACTTCACAGCGTAGCTAACACTTGGGTTTTCTGTTTTGAAGTAAGTGCTAACTAAGTTAACTGTGCTGGCCTTGAATTGTCCTCTTCCTTCACTCTTCCAAGTGGCTGCGATTCACAGGCCCGCTGGGTGTGAGTGTGTGTGTGTGTATGTGTGTGTGTGTGTGTGTGTGTGTGTGTGTGTGTGTGTGTGTGCTCACACTTATTGCCTCTTTAGTCTAAGGTAAAGTAGTAAAATGCTTCCTAAGACCCTAGGCTCAATCCACATCACTGCAAAAACAAAACCCCTCAGAAAACTGCAGCATTAATACAAGGAGCTAGCCATTTCATATACATGTCTTTTTTGTTGTTGTTTTCGAGACAGGGTTTCTCTGTATAACAGCCCTGGTTGTTCTGGAACTCACAGAGATCTGCCTGTCTCTGCCTTCCGAGTGCTGGGATTAAAGGCGTGCCCCACCGCCTGGCCTCATATACCTGTCTTTTTATAAGTTTACTAATTTACCTACTTATTGAAGTAGGGTCTTGTGATGTTGCTCATGCTAGTCTGAATTGAGGTGATCCTTCTGCCTTAGTCTCCCGAGTAGCTGGGACTGTAGATTTTAGCGTATATGCCTCAAATGGTCATGTTCCAGCTCTGAAATAACTTGTCTCTTTTTTTTCAGATTCCTTTCTCCAAATTTTTTTTCTCCAATCAAGGAAGGGTACGAGATTTCCAGAGGCCACTTATAGTTGACAAGGTAATGCTTTCCACTCAGAAAGATACCTTCTTTAGTGAAATACAGTTGTTATAAAGCCAGCTCAGTTTGTTTCCCAAGGATGGCAGAGGAAAGATTAAAATTCTACCCAGGCTCCTCTGTTGGGACAGATGCTGACTTAGACCTCCATCCTGGGGGACCACCTCTATCAGCATGCTTCATTTTATTTTAGCTGTATAATAAGAGCTCAGAAGAACTTTAAGGAGACTCCATTAAGAGGCCATGCTGTACTGACTGTCTTAAGTGAACTACTCAAAGGGGAGAATAAAGGAAGTAAAATGTGGGGTAGAGAGAAGCATTCGCTCGAGTGTGCTGGGACACTCCTGTAAATCCCAGCCCTTGAGAGTGAAGGCAGGAGGATCAGGAGTTCAAGGCCAGCCTGGGCTACATGCAACCCTATCTAGAAAAAAAATGAAAGCAGTTTTGAATTTGTACTTCTTATAATTTAGTACAGCAAATGAAGAGTATAATAGGCTGAGGCTGATGGGGTGAAGACTCCATTACAGTGATTCCCACGAGTCTTTTGGAGACCAGAAAGAACATCGCTGCATCAGTGTAGGAGAGTCTAATCCATTTCTCTTATTTTACATTTAGATCTCTTCTATAGGACTCACCCTGGCAGATAAGGTGGATGGACCATTCTTCCTGGAAATAGATTTTATTGGTGTGTTTACTGATCCAGCCCATACAGAAGAACTTGCTTATGAGAGTTCTCCAGCTATTAACCCAGATCTTTTCAGATAGAGAACTGGGGCAGATTTGAGTAACACTGAGTACTGGTCACAAATACAAAATAAAGCCTTTCTGTCTGCCACTTCCCCCCAACCTTTTTCTGCTGTACTATGTGTAGGGTAAAAAGGGCCAGTGAAAGAACACCCTGGCCCTGAAACCAGAGTCAAGGAAACAAACCCTGCTCCTAACCAACTCAGGAATTGAAATCCAACCAATCCCAGAACATGAAAACGAACCAACCAACCCCTGAGCATGAAACCAATCCCAGAGCACAAAAACCAACCAACCAACCAACCAACCAACCCCTGAGCATGAAACCAATCCCAGAGCACAAAAACCAGCCAGCCAGCCAACCAACCAACCAACCAACCAACCAACCCCTGAGCATGAAACCAATCCCAGAGCACAAAAACCAACCAACCAACCAACCCCTGAGCATGAAACCAATCCCAGAGCACGAAATTCAACCAATCTCTGAGTTTGTCCCAAACTCAGGAATTGAAATCCTACCAATCCATACCCTGAAAATCTCTACCTTGGAAAGCTCTGCCCCTAAGAAATCCTATATAAGCCCTGTACCTGGTCAGTTTGGGCTGCCCTTTCTCTACCCTGGCAGAGGCAGCCACTCTTCTGGATTCCTCCCTCCCAATAAATCTCAAGTGAGGTTTGTAGCAATGACTTTCTTTCCCCCAGCAGAGCAGAGCTATAACAAACCTCACCAGGGAAACCCTCCTCTGCTGGAGCAGAGTTGTTAGGCTTGCTTTAGAGAAACCTTTCCTGGAGCAAGGACCGTTAACACTGCTGGGGATCGAATCCCATGCTGGAATAGAGCTGTAGGTATTCCTGGGCTCCTGACTGCCAGGATACCTTTCCCTTAGAAGCTGAAACACTTACACTGGGAACTGAAATTGAACCCAGGGCCTCATGTATTCTAGGCAAACATGGAATTCCCACATGAGCACTTTTTTCTCTCTTTGGTTTTTCTTTTTCTGTTTTGTTGGTTTTTCAAGACAGGGTTTCTCTGTGTAGCTTTGCGCCTTTCCTGGAACTCACTTGGTAGCCCAGGCTGGCCTCGAACTCACAAGAGATCCGCCTGGCTCTGCCTCCCGAGTGCTGGGATAAAAGGCATGCACCGCCACCCAACAGGCTGATGGCAATGCATGTTGGTACGTGTTTTGGGGGATGGGATGAGGTGAGGTTAAATGCTGTCTCTAAGAGAGAGCAGGTAAGGGGGACCCAGCATGAAACCAGGGCTGTGGTTTAGCTAACAAAGGCACAGTGTAAGGAATGCATTTGCCAGGAAAGTTCCTGTAGGAGCATGTCCTACTTAAGGAAGCAGTTTTCAAATAAGGCACCTCTAGGGCAACTGTGGTTGATCTTATCCACTCTGCCCTTCTGTTTCTAAATTGAGCTTTGAGGAAAGGAGAATGCTAAATAAATATGCCATGGACATCCCTGGAAAATGGGGTGCCCATGTAGAGAGCTTGCCTTCCAAAGACATGAACTTAGTAGTTCTTACCTTCAGGGGCTTCTTACATAACTGTTGCTCATAGGAGATAGACTGTGGTTGCTAATGGGTCCCATTCATTTAAAAATGTCACAGAGTGGGCTACAGTGATGGCTCAGTAGGTAAGACCACTGGCTGCTCTGACAGAGTACAGAGTACCCAGGTACTGTTCCCAGCACCCACAAGCACTGTAACTGGAGTTCTAGGACTGAAGTTCTCTTCTGGCCTCCACAGGCACCAGTCAGTTCAGCTCAAATCAAGCACTTTCTAAGGAGCCTTGGTCATCGTGTTTTGTCACAGCAATCAAAAAGTAAAATAAGACACCAGTTTATTTATTTATTTTTTGTAAGATTTAATTTTTAGGCCAGGTGATGGTGGCACATGCTTTTAATCCCAGCACTCGGGAGGCAGAGGCAGGTGGATCTCTGTGAGTTCGAAGCCAGCCTGGTCAACAAAGTGAGTTTCAGGATCGCTAGGGCTGTTAATACAGAGAAATCCTGTCTTGAAAGACCAAAAAGATTTCATTTTTAAAATTATGTGTATGTGTGTGGGTATATGCACATGAGTCCTGATGCCCATGAAGGCTAGAAAAGGGTATGAGATCCCCTTTAGGTAGAGTTATAGGCAGTTATAACCTGCCTGACTTGGGTGCTAAACACTGAACTTGAGTCCTTTGCAAGAGTTGTTAGTACATGCCCTTAACAATTGGGCCATCCCTCCAACCTTAAGGGTCATGTCCCCCCCACCCCACCCCCTGCACACTTCTGGTACTGGAAATCAAACCCAGGACCCTATGCACGCTAGGCAAGAGCCCTCCCACCAAGCCATCCCACCTAGTACTATAGGGGCTCCTCTAGCTAAGGCAGGCAGTGAGCTTCTGATCCTTCTGCCTCTACTTCCTGAGTACTAGATTATAGGTTTATGCCACCACACTCAGCTCAGCTTTATGAATTTCTAGTATATAAAAATAGAACTGGTAGACTCAGTCCAGGTAGGTCTAGTCCCCTCCACCTCAGTCTGTGGGGAAGGCTTTGCCCTGGAGGAGATGGGAATGGGGGGGGGGGCGTTGGGGGGGAGGTGAGGGGGACGGGAGGGGGGAGAACAAGGGAATCCGTGACCGATATGTAGAACTGAATTGTATTGCAAAATAAATTAAAAAAAAAAAAATAGAACTGTTGGCTATTTACCTTGATATCTTACTATTTCTAGTAACAAGTGCAAGGCCTTAGATTTAAAACCCAGTAAGAAAGGGAAAAAGAAAAACACTTCTTTACAGCCAGGGATGGTGGTATACACCTAACTCAGCATGTACTTGGGAGGTAGAGATAAGAGGATCAGGAGTTCAAGGTCATCCTCAGATACAAAATGAGTTTGAGCTACCTGAGACCCTGTTTCAAGAAAAAAGTTTGTTGTGGAAGAGAAGTGGGTGGGGAGGATGTATAAGTACTTACTGACCTTCGATGGCCACCTAAGTCCTGGGCAACTTATATTTAAAAAGAACGAACCTATCACAGTGAAAACATTTTTATTTATGAAAATCATAAGCATTACACACCACTCAGAATCTCTGTCTGGCAGAGCAAAGAACTGAAGCTATGTTTAGCTGCTCTCCTCTCTCCCTTACAGCTAGTAAGGTTTAAGTCTGACAGACATGGCAACTTGTACAGCAGCGATTCTGTTTTGGTTTTGATGGTAACAGGTCAAATCCAGGGTCCAGTGTGTGGTAGACAAGTGCTGTACAACTGAGGCACACCCTCTGCCCTGTGGCTTTTATTTAACAAGTAGAGACAAAGAATTCTGTTTTAAAAATATGAGTGACAGTTGGCAATTACATGAAATGATCTGAACAAGGCTCCTATAAGCTAAAACATGTCTTTACCTTGATAAAATATTGATTCATAGCCAAATAAGATTATTAGATTTTCCAGACTAGTGAACAAAAAGGTGGCCTCTCCAGCCTCCTTTTTCCTGTGAACTTGATCTCACTCAGATTCTCATGCTAAGCTTCTGCTATGGCTTGGTGCCATGTGGGAAGTGCTCTTGTCCAGGAAAGGATGCAGGTCGTCCCTGTTAGAACTAGCAGGACCTTGACATGGAAAACCCGTCAAGAACCCCAAGGACAGGACTTTAAAAAGCAGAGTTTTACAGGACATTAGGTGAAAACCACTTTAGTTGTGAACTTTAGGATGAGAATGTATTTTCAGAGCTATAGCACATGAAGAGCAGACACTCCACAAATTAGGACCGACAGACAGTTATGGTAGAAAAAGCTTTGGACTAACGTAGAGGAGAGTATAAAAACACCAAGAGAAGGAAAACAAATTGGAAGGAAAGGACTGGACGGTATCACTGGGCTTTGGTCGTAACCAGGTTTCTTCGAGCTTCCAAGACCTTTGCCTTCCTCTCCTTTCGTTCTTGCTCGTGTTTCTTCCGTTGTTCTTCCCTAAGAGGATAGACAGGCTCCATGTTAGCCTTACAGACACTAAAGAACGTACTGCTGACCTAGCATCTAGTTAAATGGCATCTGGCACACTCGTGGAACAGACGTATGCCAGGAACTGGGCTCTACCCACCAGCTGGAATATTTGTCAGCACCATGTGCAAAGGCTTCAGGTTGCTAGGGTAACAGCATTCTAAAGTCACGCATAGAGCAAGAACCAGAGGACACCTTGGTGACTGAATTCAGTGCCTGTACTTCAAAAGTTAGTTGTAAATGAGAAGTCTTATTCCGAGAAGTCAAACATAAGAGTTTGGCCACAGTACTAGAACTAGGGTCCACTGACTAGAGACAAGAAAAAACCTCCAGGCTCATGTTATCTTATGCGTAGTAAAAGGTCTTGGTGGAAATGGATATAGGCAAGAGGTGGATAATAGGCATCCTGTATGGAGACAGTCCAGGCGGTAAATCTGATCCAGCCAAGACCAAGTGCAGCCCAGCCCACAGAAGAGAGCCTTGCAGGCCCATGCTTGGCTTGGATCTGTATGGGACTTCACTCCTTACATGCCTAGTTTGCTTGGGAGTGGAGAATTTATACCTGGCCATACTTGAGCACTGGTGTCCGCAGAGATAGTTACATGTGCTGTTGGGAAGACAGGCCCCACAGAAACATGAAGCAGTATTTAGGGTGCATTGCAAACCCAGTTTGGAATCCATTTTGTAGAGCTGAAAATACTTGACAAAATTTACATTTTTAAATAGGCTATCATTGGCGCATGCTTTTAGTCCCAGCACTTGGGAGGCAGAGGCAGATAGATCTCGTGAGTTTGAGGCCAGCCTAGTCTACATAGTGAGTTTCAGGACAGCCAGAGCTACACAGAGAAACCCTGTCTCAAAAAAAAAAAAAAGAAAAAAAAAAAAAGATATGTTATCATGTATTCCAGGCCCCTAGCTCACTTTTTTTTTTTTTTTTTTGGTTTTTTGAGACAGGATTTCTCTGTGTAGTTTTGGTGCCTGTCCTGGATCTCACTCTGTAGACCAGGCTGGCCTCAAACTCACAGAGATCCGCCTGACTCTGCCTCCTGAGTGCTGGGATTAAAGGTGTGCGCCACCACCGCCCAGCACCCCCCAGCTCACTTTTAGGTTATGGGTACCACCCTTGAAAGTGATTAATGCCAAGCCTGAGGAATGAGCTAGCTCTTTAGGAGGAGGCTGTTAACAAGACAGCAGAACACTTTCCGTCTGCCTAGTCCACACATTCTCCTGACTCTCAAGTGCACTTATACCATTTGCCACCTTGTGACATAGCATAAGATTCTCCCAGCACCCTGGACTTCCAGAACTGTAGGTTAAAATAAACTCTTGTCTGTAGAACATCTAATTGCAAGCATTTGGTTATATCAACATAGAATAGAATGGAATATTCCACTTCTGTCACTACTATGATTCTGTCCCTGACATACTTTAGTACACAGTCTTCTGAAATTAGAAAATTTGGAATATGAGATAATTATGTACTCACCTGGTGTGGAGATGAGGCTGTTTGTAAGTTTTCCTGTGCAGGCTAACTCTGCTTACACACTCATTCAGAGAACTATTCTCTTTAGATTGCCCCCAAGGTTTCAGCTTTCCTAGGTTAGGAAAAGGACAGTGTTAAGATTCTTTTATTCACAACTCTGTTGTCTCTGTCTTTTTGGTTAACTGCCTATCAACATTTTAATGTACCTTGATTTCACATTCCAGACGTGAATCATATTATTCCTCAAAAAATAAAAGTGTGTTTTAATAAAACCTTCTATTATTACTGTGTGTGTATGAGTGTGAGTACAAAGGTCAGAGGACAACTTTGGAGAGCTGGCTCTCTCCTTCTCCACCAAGAGTTCTGCAAACAGAACCTAAGATGGTCAGGTCTATGCAGCAGACACTCTACCCACGCAGCGGCTCACCGGCCTGCATCATATAGCCACTTTTTACATGTATTTGTGTGCACATGCCCTGGCATGTGTGGGGGTCCTTCCACCGTGTGGGTCCTAGGAACTGCAAACTCAGGCCGTCAGTTTGGTGGCATGTGGCTTTACCTGTTGAGCCGTCATGCTGGCCCTGCTGATTCTTTTTTAACTCTGAGGAAGTCATGAGGGAAAAGCCCTAATACAGGGGGCTGGAGAGATGCTCAGGGGTTAAGAGTGCTTACTGCTCTTACACAGGACCCAAGTTCCGTTCTCAGCCCCCATGTCACGTGGCTTACAATCCCTATAACTCCAGTTTCAGGGTATTGGATACCTTCTGCCTCCCTAGACAACTGCACTCACATGCAGACAGACAGACAGCACAATAATACTTAAAAAATCTAAACAAATACTAATAATTCAATCTGTTGTTAATCTAATTATACATCACACTGAATAAAACAATTACAACCAAATAATTTATCTTAAAATTGTATAAGTATTATGCTTAATAGAATTTTTTTTTTTTTTTTTTTTTTTTGGTTTTTCGAGACAGGGTTTCTCTGTGTAGCTTTGCGCCTTTCCTGGAACTCACTCGGTAGCCCAGGCTGGCCTCGAACTCACAGAGATCCGCCTGGCTCTGCCTCCCGAGTGCTGGGATTAAAGGCGTGCGCCACCACCGCCCGGCCTGCTTAATAGAATTTTTAAAAAATCATTTCATATTTTTAATGTTTTAAAGATGTTTTTAATTATTTGTACATGTGTGTGTGAGTGTATGCCACCCGTGTGGTTACTGTGCATTTTATAGCTAGGCATGGCGGCTCACACTAGTTATTCCACACCTTAGGAGGCTGAAAGAAAGGCCATGAGTTCAAGGGCACAAAGGGATAAAGAGAGTTCCAGATTGGCTAGGGCTACACAGTGAGACTCAGAATAAAAAACTCTCTCTGCTTCCAGCCAGCGCAGTGTGACAGGCTGGCCTGCTCCTGCTGCTGGCTTCCTGCCACGGACTGTCTGCCTGGAACTGCTGTGACACACACGTGATGGATGGTCAGCCTCATGCTCTGCCACATGGCCTTCGCCACCAGATGAACTGGACCCACCCCCAAATGTAAGGCACAACAAACCCTGTCTTTTAGAACAAAACACCACAACAAAGATCAAACAACAAAAACCGCATACCCAAAATAAAGTCGATCTGATATATACTTTAAAATTGCTAAGAGGCCGGGCGGTGGGAGCAGCACTCGGGAGGCAGAGGCAGGTGGATCTCTGTGAGTTCGAGGCCAGCCTGGTCTACAGAGCGAGTTCCAGGAAAGGCGCAAAGCTACACAGAGAAACCCTGTCTTGAAAAACCAAAAAAAGAAAGAAAAAAAAAATTGAAGCCCTGTCTCAAAACAAAGGAGCAGAAACTCAAGCAGGTATTTATATACCTGTTTGTAACAGGCAGAGATAAAAAGTTACACAGGCTACCTTCAGGCTGACACCAATCTGTTACAAGTCATACTCCTGGTAAACAAATGTGTAAGCAGGTAGTTAGTTTTTGCTCAATGGAAAATCTTTTAAGTCAGGGATTCATGTGGAAGGAGGGGCAGAAATTTCTAGGACTTCTTCCAAGTCATAGAGTGTTTTTTTTCTCTTGTTTTGTAGTGTTCGGGGATCAAATTCAGTCTCATGCCTGCCAGGAAGCACTTTACTGCTATATATATTATAATATCTGGCGTGCGCGCACACACACACACACACACACACACACACACACACACACACACACACACACACAAAAACCTCCAGCCTTTTGACATCTTTTGATGCAGAACTGTTGAAAGTCTTCTACCAGCCTTGTCCTTCCAGACAATTCCACATACCTTTGTGTGGCTTGTAGTTGAGGGGACGAGACAAGCTTGCCTGGAGATCAAACACTGGCTTCTTACTGGAGCCTGGAGTCTGTGCTGCTTCAGCTGACCACTGGAATGGGGTAAGAACTGAAAAAGCAAAACACCAAAGAACTTCATTTCTTCTTTTGTTTTTGTTTTTGGTCTTTTTGGGACAGGGCTTTTCTGTGAAACAGCCCTGGCTGTCCTGGAACTCGCTCTGTAGACCAGGCTGGCCTCGACCACCTGCCTCTGCATGTCCCCTCCCCCCAGTGCTGGGATTAAAGGCGTGCGCCACCACCGCCCGGCTGGTGGTGCACACCTTTAATCCCAGCACTCGGGAGGCAGAGGCAGGCGGATCTCTGTGAGTTCGAGGCCAGCCTGGGCTACCAAGTGAGTTCCAGGAGAGGCTCAAAGCTACACAGAGAAACCCTGTCTCGAAAAACCAAAAAAAAAAAAAAAAAAAAAAAAGGTGTGCACCACCATGCCCAGCTAGAACTTAAGTATTTAAACAAAAAAAAAATTACACAGCTTAAAACTTTATTTCTTAGACTCGTTTTATGTGTAGGAGTATGCTGGCTGCATGTCTGTGTACCACACATGCCTGTGCCCAGGGACATAAGAGGGATATTGGATCACTTGGAACTGGAGTCACAGTGTGAGCTGTCACATGGGTGCTGGGAATTGAATCCAGGTCCTCTGAAGAGCAGCCAGTACTCCTAACTGCTGAGCCATCTCTCCAGCTCCCCAAATAACAGGTTTTAATCAAAGTATCATTTTACCATTTAAAAATATTTACATTATGGATGAAATGTTTTTGTTCCCATCGTTCATTCCCATGATGAAATGGAATCTTAGTTGAGAAGAATCATTCCCCATGAATGGGATTAGTGCATTATAAAGAATCCCTACAGTGTATACTAGTTCAGGGTGGTGGTTGAATAAGGATTCAAATATAGACTCCTGTATTTGAAAGCTTCACCAGGGAGTGCAACTCCTTGATAGGCCGAGAAGGATTAGGAGGTGTGGCTTTATTGGAGGAAGTATCACTGAGAGTGGGCTTTGATATCAAGAGCCAGTGCCAGGCCCTGCCTCTGCCTGCTCATCAGACTGTAGAGTTCTCTGCTCTTTCCCAACCACCATGCCCGTCTGCTGCCATGCTCCCTGCCGAGATGAAACTGTAAGCAAGTCCCCAGTTAAATGCTTTCTTTATGAGTTGCCTTGGTCATGGCGTCTCTTCACAGCAACAGAACAGGGACTAAGATACTTAGTTTGCCATTTGAGCATGTGACTAGAAACCAGCAGCTTGGTACTTGAAGGGCCTTTACTAGGTCCCAATCCTGATCTAGCCTCCAGAGCTAAGACATTTCTTTTGTTATAAGCCACTCAGCCCTTGGTAGTTTATTATAACATGCAGAATTAATCCATATGGGTCATGTGATATAGATGTTGGGCTCAAAAGCAGGAAAGAAGGGGTGTAAATCTGACTACTGAGGTTTGTTCCCCAGTTAGCAGCCCCTAAATATTCTGAATGGTTCAACGTTTTCTAGGATCATCTGGGAGCAGCTGAGGGCTGGGGAAATGGCTCAACAGATAAGGTGCTTCTCATGAGGTCTAACAGCCTGAATTTGATCTCTGGAAACCCACATGGTGGTAAGGGAAACTGAGGCCCACAAGTTGACCTCTGACCTCCAAATGTGTGCTCAGACACACATGCATGTGCATACACATACATACTTGATCTTTTTTTTTTTTTAATAAAAAAGAGAAAAGCTAATAGCCATCATAGGGAGTGACAGGGCATGACTCTAACTCTAGCACTTGAAAGGTGAAGGCAGGAAGGCGGGAGTTCAAGCCAGCCTCAGCTACACAAGATCCTGTCTCAGAAAGCAAATGAAAAAATGAATAGAGGGCTACAGTGGTTTGGAGAATGCACTGTTTTACCAGGACCTGAGTTCAATTCCCAGCACCCACATCAGGTGGTTCACAACTACCTGTAACTCCAGCTCCAGGAGAAGCTGATAATTTTGGTCTTGATGGGCACCTGTACTCATGTGCTCATACCTACCCACAGTTATATTCACATAATCAAAAGAAATTAATCTTAAAAAAATTAATTAATTAAGCCAGCTCATTTAGAATCCCAGCACTCAGAAAGCTGAGGCAGGAGGACTGTTGTGAGGTGCTGTACACTAGTCTTGATCCTGTGTCTAGAACAAATTCTTATACTTCCACAGCTTATGATGTGTTCTGGAGGTACCTATATGTCTCTGGGGGATAAACTGAAATATATCCATATTATTGAAATACCATAAAAATAACTAAACATGCTTGAATCTTGAAATATTCTGTTGAATGAAAAAGTCACAGGAAAAAAAGTCAGAGTTTAATTTTATTCATGTAAAATTCAAATCTGGTAATGGGGGGGCAAAAAATAGCATCTCTTTTACTGAGCCCCTGAGTTCCTTAGCAGAGAGCACTCAGGATGAGTCTGGGCTTCATGTCTTTATCTCTGAGCAATGGTAAACGCTCTTGTTATTGTGAGGTAGGTGCTGTTCAGGCTTGAGCTCTTTGTAAAATGACAGACATAGCTACTAACCATTTTTTTCTGATCACCCCTGCCCAGGCTACTAGTTCTTCCTGTTTAGAATGCTAAGCAGAATGTTTACTGGGCCAGATGAGAGGTCATTTAAGGGGAGAATTCTGTGAACTTACTCTTCTCGTCTCTGCACTCTGTCAGTGTGTGTGTGTGTGTGTGTGTGTGAGAGAGAGAGAGAGAGAGAGAGAGACAGACAGACAGAGAATAGACACAAAGAGAGCAAGCACACATTTTGAGGTCAGGTACCACCCACTGTCTCTCACAATGGCCTGGTTCTCACCAATTGGTGAACTTCAGCGAGCCATTATCTAAGTCTCCCTGGCACTGGGATTATAATAGGCATGTCAATACATCCAGCTTTCCGTTGTTAGACAAAGGTTCTAGGAACCGAACTCAGGTCCCATGATTAGAAGACAAGTGCTTTTATTCAGCAGGCCTCTCTCTAGCCCTGGACCCTTGAATTTGATTTTCCTTCTCCCTACTCAGTTAGGTCATGACCCCATTACAGGCCCTGAGTCGTCACACCAATGACTTCTCCTCCAGTCTGGAACAGTGGATGGCTCTGGTCCAGGAGCCATCTATCAGTCTGACGTTTTCAAGGCATTCGAAGAAGAGTCTTGGTGTGTGCAGCAGGCATGTGAGTTTATAGCTTACATCTCTGGTGTTTCCTTCACCAGTGTAAATGAAAAACGTGCTATGACTTTTTGGACTTGATTGTATACATGTGAAGAGACTTTAGAGAAAGAGACACGCTTAATTCAGAAGTTACAGGTTTAAAGTTAAAAGCTCTTTTTTTTTTTTTTTTTACCTGCAGTAGTAGAATTCCTCTCAGTGGTCTTTAGCTTGGGTGTCCTGAACACAGCCTGGTTTTTTGAGGCACTCCCAGGTAGGGTCACACGTGGAGACTTTCTGGCCGGAGTCTTGGTCAGTGAATACTTATGTTCATTATCTTTAGTAGCAGCTGAAAACCTAAATGCAACAAGGGACAGAAAGATGTGGTTACTTGTACCAGAGTCACTAAGGTGAGCTCGTATGTGAAACCACCGGACCATCACCAGGTGGCATGGGAGCCTCAGTCAATACTTGCTACGTGAATCAACCTCTCTCACACAAAAGACATGTTTTTGACAACCTCCATTATTTGTAAAATAAGTTTTGAGGGGCTGGAAAGATAGCTCAGCAGTTCAGAGCATCTGATACACATATGGAGGACCCAGGTTCAGTTCCCAGCTCCCACAACCATTTGTGATTCCAGTTTCAGAGGATCTGACACCTCCTGGCTGGCCTCTGGGAGCACAAGGCACCCAAGTGCTATACATACATGCAGTCAAATGCTCACACATATCAAATAATAAATCTTTAATGATAATAAATAAAACATGTTTGTGTTTTTCTGATATTCTTGTGTTGGCCAATGACAGACTGGAGGTTGTCCTCTATCCAACAAACCTACACACACACACACACACACACACACACACACACACACACACACACACACACACACGCATATGTGAACACTGGTAGAGCCCTTGTCTAGTATACCCAAGGCCCTGGATTTAAACCCCAATGTGCATGTGTGTATACACACCTATACAATCTCTTAAAAAAAAAAATCTCTTTACCTGACATTCATTTTAGTTGCTGAAAGCACAGAGTGCTTGTCTGACCCCTTCAGACTTTCAGGGCCATGGGACTGGTCTTGTGAGAACTGCTGCCTGGCAGGAGTATAGGGTACAGAGAATCTTCCTCTTGCTGGAACTGGGGTCACTATCCCTTTTTTCTCAAGCTGCTTTTGAAAGGAAGAAAAAGCACCATTTTAAATCTTGGTCTCAGGCCAGCGAGTTATCTGAGCGGGTAAAGGCAGAAGCTTGATGACATGCATTCCATCCCACAGCCCACATGAGAGAGGAAAGAATCAACTCTCACAAATGGTCCTCTGGCGTGCACACACATACACACACAATAGAATTTCCAAAGTAAGAGCTTGTTCTTAAACCAGGTGGGGAGGTACATCCCTGTAATCCTACCACTTGGAAGGTGGAGGCAAGAAGGTCAGAAGTTCATTGCCAGTCTCATCCAGAGACATTTCAAGGCTAGTTTAGACTACATAAAATCCTATTTTTGGCCTCCATGGGCACCTGAACTCGTGTGTGTGTGTGTGTGTGTGTGTGTGTGTGTGTGTGTGTGTGTGTGTGTGTGTGTGTGTATTATTTGTGTGTATACACATATATAGTATTTTCTTTTTCTTTTTCTTTTTTTTTTTTTTTTTGGTTTTTTGAGACAGGGTTTCTCTGTGTAGTTTTTTTTTGGTTTTGTTTTTGCTTTTGTTTTTGGTTTTTTAGTTTTGGTGCCTGTCCTGGATCTCACTCTGTAGACCAGACTGGCCTCGAACTCAGAGATCCGCCTGGCTCTGCCTTCCGAGTGCTGGGATTAAAGGCGTGTGCCACCACCACCTGGCTTCATGATGGCCTCACTCACCCGCCTGTCTCCACCTTCTAAATACTGGGTTAAAGGCATAAGCCACGAGATGGCAGGATACAGTTTTACTTGGAAGGTTTTAAAATTTCTGAGGGCAGGAGGAAGCAATTTTAAGAAAGATGTGTCAAACCCAGATAAGTCCATTCACAAATACAGTCATATGATTATAGCTATATTCTCCATAGTGTTAAATTACTTAAAAATTGAAACTTTGCTAGGTGTGGTGGCTCATGCCTAAAATCCTACTACTTAGGATGCTGAGACAGGAGGGTCACTGACAATTTAAAGACAGCCTGATAGCAGGTTTTTTTGGATCGCCAGCTGCCAAATCATGGCATGGAGACTTAATATTAGTTATTAAGCTCAGCCTTATCTTATGCTTGTCCCACCAGCTCTTATAACTTATTTTAACCTGTTTCTCTTCATCTATGTTTTGCCTCAGACTTTTTACCTTTCTTTCATTCTGTATGTCCGTCCAACTTTGCTGCTTCCTCCGTGTCTGTTTGTCTGGCAGCTTCCTGGATGGCCCCCGCATCTCCCTTTCTTCCTTCCTCTTTCTCTCTTCTCTCTCAAGCCTAGATTCCTCCTTGTACTTATTCTCTCTGCCTGACAGCCCTGCTATCCCTCCTCTGCCTACCCATTGGCCATTCAGCTTTTCATTAGTACAATCAAGTGCCTTATGCAGGCAAGATGAAACAAATGTAACACACCTTGACATCATTTAACAACTGCAACATAAACAAATGTAACGCATCTTTACATAGTTAAAGTAATATTCCACAATGTAGTCTTGACTACACAACAAAAAGGCAGACAACAAGTAGTTTAGTCTGAGAACATGAATTTTAACAACTAACAAGAAACTGGGAACAGTGGCGCACACCTTTAATCCCAGCACTGGGGAGGTAGAGGCAGGTGGGTCTCTGTGAGTCTAAGGCCAACCTGGCTTATATAGTGAGCTCTAAGACAGCAAGAGCTACATAGTGAGAGTCTGGCTTGAAATAAAAAAAAAAAAAGAAGAAGAAGATAGGGCTGGAGAGATGGCTCAGTGGTTAAGAGCACTAGATGTTCTTCCAGAGGACTTGGGTTTAATTCCCAGCACCCAAAAGCAGCTCACACCTGCCTGTAACTCCTATTCTAGAGGATCCAACCCCGATTGGACACCTCCATGGGCACCAGGCAGGTACATGGTATACTTTTTTTTTTTTTTTGGTTTTTCGAGACAGGGTTTCTCTATGTAGCTTTGCGCCTTTCCTGGAACTCACTCTGTAGCCCAGGCTGGCCTCGAACTCACAGAGATCCGCCTCCCTCTGCCTCCCGAGTGCTGGGATTAAAGGTGTGCACCACCACTGCCTGGCCACAGTATACATATTTACATGTAGGCAAAACACTCATACACACAAAATAAAGTAAAATAAATAAAAAAAAAACATGCATTTTGTCTGCATACCTTTAGTTCATTAAGTGAATTGTGTTCTTTAAAGTGTTTCTTTTTTCTCACAATATATTCATCAATGGATTCCATTTTCTTAAAATGAGCCTCATGAAGCCTTTTAAAGTCTAGAATGTATCACAATATGAAAAGTAGTAAGATAAAAATCCATTTTTAACCTTCCCTGTGTTTTTATGAACATTTGTTCTCTTTACTTTCCTGACATTCAACTTAATGTCATCTTGACTAAAACACAATTCTAGAACACTCAGCTTTTGGAAACTCCGGGGAAAGCATGTTCATCTTAGAAATCATTAAGCATTCGCATCTCCACTGGCTAGATCCCTGACATCTTGGTTTGGAGAACAAGAGATTTGTCTTCCTCCACCTCAGTTAGTTAAAGGGCTTATTTAATCATTACAAAATGGACCGTGCTTGTGTGTGTACATGTGTGTGTGCGTGATGGGGACTGAAATACAAGGCCTCCTGCATGGTAAGCACATGGTCTACTATTTGAGATACAACTTCTCTCGCCTCTGAAAACTGACAATTTATACACTGAGAAAACACTAGGTTAAAGACTTCTGTGAAGGTTCAAACAATAAATATGTTAGGCTAGTATGGTTTTTGTCTCATTTTATTTTAATCCCTTTAAAAATTTGAAAGCTGGGCTGGAGAGATGGCTCAGTGGTTAAAGAGCACTGACTGCTCTTCCAGAGAACCTGGGTTCAATTCCCAGCACCCACACGGCAGCTCATAAAACTATCTAACTCCAAGATCTGACACCCTCACACAAACATACGTGTATGCTGTGGGATATCTTTCTGTAGGCTGTGAATATGTGTTGCTCTGATTGGTTGATAAATAAAGCTGTTTGGCCAACAGTGAGGCAGAATAAGGTTAGGCGGTACATTCCAACTGGAGAGAGAGGAGGAGAAAGGAGAGTGGGGCAGATGCCAGCCTGCCACTGAAGGAGCAACAAGATGCCAGCAGACTGGTAATATAGATTATTAGGAATGGGTTAAGTTAAGTTATAAGAGCTAGCTAGCAAGAAGCCTGACCCACAGGCCATATAATTTGCAATTAATATTAAGCCTCTGAGTGATTATTTTGTAACCACTTAGAGCCACACATGTAGGCAAAACACCAATGTACATAAAATAAAAATAAATTATTTTTAAAAAAATTGAAAGTCAAGCAGAGTGTGGTGGCACATGCCTACAAACAAAGCACAGGGCAGGAAGATACAAGCTAAAAAATTCAAAGTCAGCTTTGGATACACAGCAAGTTTGTGGCCTCCTGGGCTACATTAAGACCCGTTCTCAAAAAATGCAAAAGGCAAAAACTTTAGCTCAGAGGATTTAAAACTAATAAAGGTGAGCAGGGAGTGGTTTGCCAAATCCACCCTAGGCTATTCCATTACTGAACTTTTTCTTCTTTTAAATTTACTTTTTTTTATAGGTATGAATGCTTGCCTGTGTATTATGTGCATACCTGGTGCTCAAGGAGGTCAGAAAAGGAAGTTAGATCCCCTGAAACTGGAGTTATGGATGGTTTTAGCCACTATGTAGGTGCTGGGAACTGAACTTAGGTTATCTGAAAGAGCAGCAAGTGCTCTGAACCTCTAAACCATCTCTCCATCCCTCATTATTGAATTTCTAATATATGACAAACAGTATTCTGTTATAAATATACAATAATCTATGTGTCAAGAACCGTAAGGCAGGTGAGACAATTGTTTTTTTTTTTTTTTTTTTTTGGCTATTGAGACAGAAAGTCACACTATACAACAGGCTGGTCCAGAACCATGTAACCAAGCCTCTAGCTCCCAAGTTCTGAGTATATAGTATGTACGTAGTATTTCACAGATACTATTTCATCAGATATTTACTGGAGCCTTGCTATGTGCTATTGCATGTGCTAGGTACTAAGCAGTGGAAAGAGTATTCTCAAGTTAAATACTAACCCATGAAGCCTAAGTACAGCCATTGCCACTTTACACTGAGGAAGACAGTCTGAAGGTCAGGTGCCCGCTATCCTAAAGCCAGGAACCCACAACAGTGGAACGTGAGCCCCGGTCCCCATACCGGGGATTTGAGCTGCTGCCAACCACTGCCGACTCAACAGGGATCTGAAGGAGGGCAACCCACCATCTTCTTTGTATACAAAACTTACTTGGTGTGGTGGCTGCAGTCTTTTTATTGCTCCCACGTTTGGAAAACCCATCTGTGCATAGAGATTTTTTTTCCAAAGGCATCTTTGAATCTTTAACGTCTAAATACACACATACAAAACAAAAAAACATTTTTCGTTAAACTCTATTAACTTAAATAATCAAAGATACAAAAAGCTTCTAAGAAACATCTGTATTTAAGCACTTGTCTAGCAAATGCAAGGCCCTGGGTTCCATCTTTAGTACCACAAAAACTAGACAAAGAAACAAAAAAAGGGTAAATTATTTTATCTGCCTCTATGTGCTATGTTATTTAGTCTTTCAGAGAGGCACAGTTCAGCAGGAAGTGTCTGAATAGCCTTTAGTAATGGCAGGCATTATTCAACCAAACACACCAAGGGGGAGCTGCTGCTCCTTTTAAGACAAGGTCTCTTTATGTAGCCTTGGCTGGCCTGAAACTCTCTATGTAGACCAGGAAGACCTTGAGATCATAGAGACCTGTCTGTCTCTGCCTCCTGAGTGCTGGGATTCAAGTGTTCATCACCACACCCAACAGACAAGTCAGAGTTTCATAAATGTTAGTTGCATGATAGAATATGAACTTATGTTCTTTGTACATTGTGTAAGAACTATCTTATTTAAGAAACACACAGACGCCCGGTGGTAGTAGTGCATGCCTTTAATCCCAGCACTCATGAGGCAAAAGTAGGTGGATCTGTGTGAGTTCGATGCCAACCTGGTCTACAGAGGGAGCTCCAGGACAGGCTCCAAGGCTACACAGAGAAACCTTGTCTTGAAAAATAAAAAAAAAAAAAAGAAACACACAGATAAGGAGCCAGGCATGGAGGGCATGTCTGTAATCCCAGCATCTGGGGAAGTGGGACAAGGAGTTCAAAAACATCCTCAGCCACATAGTGAGTTCCAGGCCAATGTGGGCTGGATGAAATCATGTCTTAAAAAAAGGAAATCAAAACAAAACAGTAAAATAATATACACACACCCTCAACCAAAGAAACACATGTAGTAGTAAAGGGACACATATCTACAACTTCTCTCAGAGTTCAAGGGGAGAACCTATGTGTGTATGTGTGTGATAGAGACACAAAGTAGGAGAAGGAGAGAGGGAAGGAAGAAAACTAAGGAAAAAGGGGTAATGTTAACAGTTGGGAAACCTGAGTGACATTTTGCACCACATTCTGGTGGTGCCTGTAATGGGCCATCATCTCCGTAAATCCTTCCTGTCCATCTTCCAGTAATTCTCAGAGCCCAGGCAGATTGGCCAAGGGGAACCTCCCTAACACAGAGATGGCCATGGCAATTGGCAGGCTTCCTAAGGAATAAAACTGGAGAGCACAAAGTGCTGTCAGGATGGGCCAACTGAATTTTTTAGTTTTCTAAAACTTAATTGCCAGGCTTCCTAAGGAATAAAACTGGAGAGCACAAAGTGCTGTCAGGATGGGCCAACTGAATTTTTTAGTTTTCTAAAACTTAATTGAGGGCACTAGAGAGGCGGCTCAGCAGTTAAGAGCATTGTTGCTGTTGGAGGGCTTGGGTTCAGTTCCCAGCACCCATACAGTGGCTCCCAACCATCTCTAACTCTAGTTCTAGGGGATCTGATGCCCTCTTGAACTCTGCAGGTACCAGGTATATACCTGATAAACATATATACCTGCAAGCAAAAAAAAAAAACAAAAAAAAAAACAAAAAAAAAAAACACATAAATTTTAAAAATGTAGCCAGGTGGTAGTGACACATGCTTTTAATCCCAGCACTTGTGAGGCAGAGCCAGGTGGATCTCTGTGAGTTTGAGGCCAGCCTGGTCTATAGGGCAAGCTCCAGAACAGGCACCAAAACTACACAGAGAAACCCTGTCTCAAAAAAAAACAAAAAAAGGATAAATTTTAAAAATGTATATAAAAAAATTTAAAACAAACAAAAACCTGTTATTGAAAAAGTTTAAGAAAAACCTGTTTTATTTATTTATTTTTTTGGACAGTCACTCACTATGTTGCCCTGGCTGGCCTGGAAATTATTCTGTAGACCAGACTAGCCTGGAACTAGCCACCTCCTCAGTCACTCAAATGCTGGAATTAAGGGATGGGATATGCATGATTGAGAAAGACAGGGATTCACTGCATGAAAAGCGGGTGTCACCGCCTCATGTAAGCATCCTAAGAAGTAGGCAGGGATTGCATCATTCTTGAGTTAAGCAGAAAGGTTAGAGAAAATGGGCTCTCCTGTCACCAGGAGAGATCGACCTTCCCAAGCTCTCCAGAAACCTCTTACTCTGCTCTGGATACAAGTCACAGCTAAGGATGTAGCTCAGTCACCGTGCACTTGAGTAGCAGCTTAAGCTCCTGAGTTTGATGCCAGTACCAGATAACAAATGCTAAGTATGACTCATCGGTCTTCTGTATTTATTTCTAGGTTTTGCTTTGACTGTAAAACATGTGGAAGTTCCAAGTGTGGCTATGGTGAACTGTGGTCCTCCAAAGGTAAGTTAGTTCCCAAACTACCAGCTGTGATGTCAACCACTTAGGAACTGGGTCTCTAGATACTTAATCAGACAGAGGTTGTTTGCTAGGTAGTAATCCAATAGGAGCAGTGTCTTTAGAAGAACAGATTCAGATCATCAATCCCAGAACCCTTAAGACTGAGGCAGGAAGACTGCAGTGAGTTTGAGGCCAGCGTGGGTTACAGTGTGAGGATCTACCACAAGCCAAATAAATAAGACAGATGTCATGTGGAAACAGAGGCAGAGAGCAGAGCATGTGGATCAGGCCATGGAACCACAGATAGGCATAGCCATTATAAGGTACAAGAAGCAAAGAAGGTACTCAGTGCCTCAGAAAAGCATGGCTCATTGACACTTCGGCTTTAGATTTACAGCTCCCAAATGTAGATGACAATCTATTTCTGCTCTTTTTCTTGTTTTTCAGGGGGTTTTTGTTTTTTGCTGTTGTTTTGTTGGTTTTTGAGACAGGGTCTTCTCTCTGATATGCAGCTCTGGTTGCCCTAAAACTCACTCTGTAGATCACAATGGCCTCAAACTCAGAGACTGACCTGCCTCTGCCTCCTGAATGTTGGGATTAAAGGCGTGTGCCACCATGCCTGGCTCAGTTTCTAGGTTTTCAAACTGCCTGGTTTGCATTCCTCACAAACTGATACCCATGACCCCCGACAGTTCCAGTTTGAAAACACTAGCTGGCACACACCGTTGACTTCACTCTCTCCTGAGGAAGCTGCGCTCCCGTCTTCTTGGCTCTGGTTTGGCAGAGAAGGAACTTTCGTAGTAGTTTTGAGGTCTTGATTTTCCTGCTTTTCTTGATTCTGTAATGTAGTACGATCACTTCTTTTTATCTCAGAATGATCCTGCAACAAATTGTGAAAGGAAAAAAACCCAAAAGAATAATTGCTACTTTCTGAAAAAGGGGTATGAAATCAAGGTGTGTGTGTGGGGGGGGAGTCAGTCAGAAGAACAATAGAGGAATAAGACTCCTGAGTGGTTTTGTGTGACCCAGTGTTCTGAGACTGTAATTTCAAAAATGGAGATACTAGAGGCCACTAGAAAGAACGGAAGATTTGTTCCTTTATGGATAACAAACTAAAACATAGCTTCTTAATCCATGCGGTCACACCACTAAACATGGCAGCCAGAAAGAATCTGGCAATAGGAAAAGCTGAACATAAAGTAACCCAAATTAATCCAAAATCAAATACGAAATGAGCCCAAGTTTGATTCCTGAGGCCCCACATGGTAAAAGAAGAAAACAATCCTGAAAGTTGTCTTCTGACTCCCACATCCAAGCCATGGCATGCACCCCGGCTCCCACATCCAAGCCATGGCATGCACCCCGGCTCCCACATCCAAGCCATGGCATGCACCCCGGCTCCCACATCCAAGCCATGGCATGCACCCCGGCTCCCACATCCAAGCCATGGCATGCACCCCGGCTCCCACATCCAAGCCATGGCATGCACCCCGGCTCCCACATCCAAGCCATGGCATGCACCCCGGCTCCCACATCCAAGCCATGGCATGCACCCCGGCTCCCACATCCAAGCCATGGCATGCACCCCGGCTCCCACATCCAAGCCATGGCATGCACCCCGGCTCCCACATCCAAGCCATGGCATGCACCCCGGCTCCCACATCCAAGCCATGGCATGCACCCCGGCTCCCACATCCAAGCCATGGCATGCACCCCGGCTCCCACATCCAAGCCATGGCATGCACCCCGGCTCCCACATCCAAGCCATGGCATGCACCCCGGCTCCCACATCCAAGCCATGGCATGCACCCCGGCTCCCACATCCAAGCCATGGCATGCACCCCGGCTCCCACATCCAAGCCATGGCATGCACCCCGGCTCCCACATCCAAGCCATGGCATGCACCCCGGCTCCCACATCCAAGCCATGGCATGCACCCCGGCTCCCACATCCAAGCCATGGCATGCACCCCGGCTCCCACATCCAAGCCATGGCATGCACCCCGGCTCCCACATCCAAGCCATGGCATGCACCCCGGCTCCCACATCCAAGCCATGGCATGCACCCCGGCTCCCACATCCAAGCCATGGCATGCACCCCGGCTCCCACATCCAAGCCATGGCATGCACCCCGGCTCCCACATCCAAGCCATGGCATGCACCCCGGCTCCCACATCCAAGCCATGGCATGCACCCCGGCTCCCACATCCAAGCCATGGCATGCACCCCGGCTCCCACATCCAAGCCATGGCATGCACCCCGGCTCCCACATCCAAGCCATGGCATGCACCCCGGCTCCCACATCCAAGCCATGGCATGCACCCCGGCTCCCACATCCAAGCCATGGCATGCACCCCGGCTCCCACATCCAAGCCATGGCATGCACCCCGGCTCCCACATCCAAGCCATGGCATGCACCCCGGCTCCCACATCCAAGCCATGGCATGCACCCCGGCTCCCACATCCAAGCCATGGCATGCACCCCGGCTCCCACATCCAAGCCATGGCATGCACCCCGGCTCCCACATCCAAGCCATGGCATGCACCCCGGCTCCCACATCCAAGCCATGGCATGCACCCCGGCTCCCACATCCAAGCCATGGCATGCACCCCAGCCCCCACATCCAAGCCAAGGCATGCACCCCAGACCCCACTACATCCCCTCCACATGTAATCCATGGCATGTACCCCAGTCCCCACATCCCCTCCACATGTAAGCCACGATATGCACCCCAGCCCCCACCACATCCCCTCCACATGTAAGCCATGGCATGTACACCAACCCCAACCCATTCCCTCCCAACACAACAAATAAATTTTTAAAATGCTATTAAGGGGCTGGAGAGATGGCACAGTGGTTAAGGGCACTGGCTGCTCTTCCAGAGGACCTGGATTTGATTCCCAGTACCACATGGCAGCTCACCATCACCTGTAACTCCAGTTCTGGGGAATTGAATGTCCTCTCTGGCCTCCAAGGGTACAAGGAATGCACATGGCGTATGACATACAACAAGCAAAACAGTCATACACATAAAATAAAAAGGTAAATTTAAAAAAAGTAATTAAGGCTGGGCATAGTGGCACACATCATGGTCTGAAAGAAAATGGCTCCCATAGGGAGTGGCACTATTAAGAAGTGTGGCTTTGTTGCAGGAAGTGTGTGTGTCACTATGGGAGTGGGCTTTGAGGTCTTATATGCTCAGACTAGATCCAGTGTCACAGACTCCTTCTGCTGCCTGTGAATCAAGATGTAGAACTCTCAGCTTCTTCTGCACACGCCACATCCCACCATGATGATAATAGACTAAACCTCTTAAACTGTAAGCTAGCCCCAATTGTGTGGTCATGGTGTCTCTTTACAGCAATAGAAACTCTAACTAAGACATACATCTTTAATCCCAGCACTTGGGAGGCAGAAGCAGGTGGATCTCTGTGAGTTCAAAGTCAGCCCGGTCTACAGAGTGAGTTCTAGAACAGCCAGGGCTGCATAGTGAGACTCTGTTTCTACCACCCAAAAGGTAATTAAGAAAAAATAAGAGAAAAAGCACTACAAAACAAAATTAAGAAATTAGGATAGGCATGTTGGTTCATATCTAAAATCTCAACACTTGGGCTGAGGCAGGAGAATTACTGTTGTGGGATATTTGTACACTGTGTGAAGATATATTGCTGTGATTGGTTTAATAAAGAGCTAAATGGTCAATAGCTAGGCAAGAGGAATAGGTGGAACCTCCAGGCAGGGAGAGAGGAAGTAGGAGATGAATTGAGACATGCAGGATGCCATGAGACACTAAATGAGTTAGACATACAGAATGGGAGAGGTAAAAGCCATATGCTAAAATGTAGATGAATAAAAATGGGTTAATTTAAATTATAAGAGCGAGTGGGACAAGCTTAAGCTAAGACCAAGCTTTCATAATTAATAAAAATTCTCCATGTCATTATTTGGGAGCTGGCTGGTGAGACAGAGAAAGACTTGTTACAAATTACCATGACTTTAAGGACAGCTGGGGTTAGAGAGTTGGACTCTCATTCACAACTATCACCACCACCAAGAGACCAAGCAAGGTGGTGCATGCCTTTAAGCTGAGCCTAGTTTACATAATGAGTACTGGGCCAGCCAGGGCTGTATAGTGAGATGCTGTGTCAGAGGGGGAGAGAGAGAGAGAGAGAGAGAGAGAGAGAGAGAGAGAGAGAGAGGAATGGAGGGAAGGAGGGAGGGGTTATGATTACGTGTGGTGAGAATCATTTTTGATTTCTGTTGTTGTTGAGACAGGGTCTCACTACGTAGCACCAGTTGTCCTTGAACTCGTGATCTTCTTGCCTCTGCCTCCCAGCACTGAGATTATAGTTGTATGCCTTCATGCTTGGAAAAAAAGTTTCATTTGTATAAGGTACAAGAGTAAAATCAGGGGCTGGAGAGATAGCTCAGCGGTTCAGAGCACGGGCTGCTCTTCCAGAGGTCCTGAGTTCAGGTCCCAGCCTCCACATGGTGGCTCACAGCCATCTGTAATAGGATCCAGTACCCTCCTCTGGTGGGCAGAGGAGCATGCAGACAGCACTCATAAATGAATAAATCTTTAAAGAAATGTTTGAAAAAAAAAGAATGAAATCAGTGTAATCAAAGCAAGTGAAGGAAGCCCCTAGTTATTCAGCCTGACCACACACTACTGAAAGACTAAGCACGGGATGATGACCAGGCCAGGAGCAGACTGAGAAAGAGAACTTAAAACTGTACTTCAGGTTGGTGGCTCTTTCATATCTACTGCAGACCACCTATGTGAACAATACATGAGCACTCACACTTATCCTATCAATTTTTGTATAAATTATATTTTTTGTATGAATTGCATGTGGAAGTACGTATGTGCGGGTATGCATACTATGAATGCAGGAATGCCAGAGGAGGGCATTGTGTGTGTCTATGTGTGTGTAGGGGGCTCTCTATTATTCTTTGTTTCTTTGAGGCAGGATCGCTCACTGAACTTGGAGATCTTGTTTTTAGGTTAGACTGGCAGCCAACAAGCCCCAGAGATGCTGTTTCCACTCCCCTCAGAGCTAAAGTTACAGGTGTGCATGAGACCACACCTGGCCTTCACATGGGTACTAGGATCTGAACTCCATAGCAGCAAGCTCTCTTAACTCCTGAGCTATCAATCTCTCTCCAGCCCCTTTAATGGGTATTTAATTTAATTTGTACTTAATACTAGTGATTTCTTCCCAAGTGCTAGGGACAGGGGTATGGTGGGGAGTACTGCAGACACAAGTCTGTACTTTTGAGGAACGTGCAGCACATAGGATGTTTCCAGCCATCTGGCTCATAAGGGAAGGTAAAATGGAAGCCAGTTATGGTAGCTTCTCTTCAGTTTGCATAGTTTCATTCACCTGGAAGTTAGGAATTCCATGGACTGTCTTGCGCTTCCTTCTTGTTGTGGTGACATGACCAACTGGTTTCCTCTCAGCTTGCTCCTCACAGTTAATTTGCATCTCAGTCTCATCACAGGAGAATGCAGAAGACTGATTCTCATCCTGGAAAAGGAGGAGACAGTATGAGCCAGATCTTGTATGCATGTGCACTAGCAATTGCATCCTAAGTCAAAGTAACTTGTCACAAATGAGAATAAGAAATAGCATTTGCATTTTCATAAAGAAAAAAGTAAAAAGTTACTGTATGATACAGTACAGTCAGAAAGCAGAGAATCTGAAACAGACCTGCTTATGTAAGAAATCATTGTTAGCCAGGCCATGGTGGTGCACACAATGCCAGCACTCGGGAGGCAGAAGCAGGTGGATCTCTGTGAGTTCAAGGACAGCCAGGGCCACACAGAGAAAATCTGTTTCGAAAAACAAACAAAACAAACCAACAAACCAACAAACCAACAAACAAACAAACAAACAAACAAACAAAAGAAATCATTGTTAATGGCTTATATATATATTAGTGGGGAAGGTTCTTTTCATTACTGAATAACTAATACTATTAGCTATTATTTCTTATATTTGTTTATTTTTTTGGTTTTTTTCAAGACAGGGTTTCTCTGTGTAGCTTTGGTGCCTGTCCTGGGTCTCGCTCTGTAGACCAGGCTGGCCTCGAACTCAGAGATCCGCCTGGCTCTGCCACCTGAATGCTGGGATTAAAGGCGTGCGCCACCACCACCTGGCTATTTCTTTTATTTGTGTTAGAGGAAGAAAACTTGGTTGTTTTTTTTTTTTTCCATACCACAAAGAATCTGGATGGATTATAGTTGTTTCTCAGTAGTAGGGATCAAATGTAGGTACCTCATATGCTAGGCAAGCACACTAGGGGTGAACTTAGCCAACCCTTTTTTTAAACTTCTTGTTATTATTAAGTTACCATAGCTGACTTTGACTTCTGATTCTCCTGTCTCAGCCTCCTGAGTACTGGGTTACAGGAATGGTCCCACCACATGGGGCTGATTTTTTTGGGGGGGGATACATTTAAATATCACCACATATATGTGGTGATATTTATATATGCTCTAAAAATAAAGCTTGTCTGAAGATCAGAGAGGAGAGCCACAGAGTTAGCCATAGAGGCCAGGCCGTGGTGGCGCACACCTTTAATCCCAGCACTTGGGAGGCAGAGGCAGATGGATCTCTGTGAGTTCAAGGCCACCCTGGACCACAGGAGATTAATCCAGTCTAAAAGAGAAAGTCAGGCAGTGATGGCTCACACCTTTAATTCCAGTACTTGGAAGTCACAGGCTTTTAATCCCAGCACTAGGGAGGTTGAGACAGAAAGTGATATAGCTGGGCAAAGAAAGGAGTTCCGCCCCCTTTTGGCTGAGGACTCAGAGGATCAGTCTGAGGATTCCTGTAGACAAGATCAACTCTTTCAGGCTGAGGATCAGTCTGAGGATTCCTGTAGACAATATCAACTCTTTCAGGCTGAGGATCAGTCTGAGGATTCCTGTAGACAAGATCAACTCTTTCAGGCTGAGGATCAGTCTGAGGATTCCTGTAGACAAGATCAACTCTTTCAGGCTGAGAAGTTTGCTGGATAAGAGGTGGTGGCTGTGGCTTGCTCTGCTTCTCTGATCTTTCAGCTTTCACTCTGATATCTGGGTTTTTATTATAAGACCAATTAGGATTCATGCTACACACACACACATATATATATAAAACCACTGCCTAGCAAATATGACTTAAAATATTAACTACAAAATTTGGAAAGTATGTAGTTCAGTGGTAAAAACACTTGTCTACTACGTACAAGGCCCAGAGTTTGGCCCTCAGCACTTTGGAGATGGGGTAGTCGTCATGTACAAAAACACTATGAAAAGCAGTTTTTTTCTTCACCCTTGCTTACTGTTAAGGCTTCAGTTCAGCAGGTTCCTCATTTGTCTCTAGGGAATCCTGGCATACTCACTCAGATGCTCAGGGCTTTTATGTCAAAGTGTGGCTCATCTGTACTCTCCTCTTGCCACTTTCTTCCTAGGAGAATTATCCTACTTTGGTCAGAGTACCACCCTTACAGCCTTCAATCCACCTTCAAACACTGCTGGAAGCTGGAGGTGTGAGCATCTTTAATTACCCCTCTGCTTCCTAGCCTGTTTAGCCTTTTTTAAAAAACCCAGTACTGAGAACTTGAGCACAGGGCTTCATGCATGATGAGCCAGTGAGTGCTCCGCCACTGAGCTAAGGCCCATAGCCCCTACTTTTCAATTTCTGTCATCTGTTGTTTTTTGAGACAGTGTCTTGACAAGCAGCCCAGGCTGTCTTGAACTGTAAAGCTCTATGCCTCAGCATAGAGCCTCTGTGCATCTGCTGCCACAACCCGCTCTCTCTGTTCTCTTGTCTCTGCAGCATCGGTCAAGCTCGTGTTCTGTTATATAGCCTTAAATGAATCATCTCTGTTTTGCCCACCTATCTTGATTCTATGGATGGTTTACTCAATAAATGATTGTAAAGTATGTTTTTGGTTGTTTTCTGTACCATCTCCACTCTTCAGGGCTGTTTCTTCTATTTATCTTAGTGTTGTTCAGGTTGCAGCTTTTCCACAAATGTTTGGTGACTGAGTTGTTTGTTCATTAGGAGCTTGAATGTGGGAGGGAAGTTTTTTGTTTATGAAGGTGTATGATCCTCTGGAACTGGAGTTACAGGCAGTTTCGAGCTGCCATGTGGGTGCTGGGAGTTGAACCCGGGTCCTCTAAAAGAGCAGTCAGTGCTCTCAACCACTGAGCCATGGCTCCAGCCCAAAGAAGGGAGCTTTTCACATGGCAGGATTCTAATACTGGATAGGTGGATGGAAGGAGTGCATATGCTCTAGGTTCTTTGAATGCCCAAAGGCTTTACAACCACTTACCCTTACAGGGAGATCTGTACTCCACACTCCACACATGGAGGAAGGAGTAGACTGCTTTGTATCTCGACTGTCAGAGCAAAGTAGTTGAGCATGGATGCACACACCTGTAATCCTAGGTACTTGGGTGGGACAGGAGGATCTCAAATTTGAGGCCAGTCTGGGCTACATAGGAAGACCTTGCCTATAAATAAGCAAGCAAACAAACAAATAAGTAAATGAGGCTGGAGAAATGGGTTGTTGCTTTTCCAGAAGACCTGGGTTCAATTTCCAACACCTACATGGCAGCTCATAACAATATGACTCCAGCTACCAGAGATCCAATGCCCTCTTCTGACCCCAGTGGACACCAGGCACACACATAAAATAAAAATAAAGAAATCTGCTTTAGACAGGGGTGAAGTATTGCAGAAGTAGAGTGACTTCAAATGATGCAAGGTCCATGGAAATCTTAAAGAATTGAACAGCTGCTGAAGAACAAAAGCAAAGAGTACTCATTAAAAAGCAGATATAAGGGCAGTGGAGAGACATCCCGACTGACCTGTCCACCTATGGACTACGAAGGCAGTGAAGACAATGGATCATTAGAATGCAGCAAACAGGCGAGGCTGACCTTAAAGCCCAGCACTAGGAGGCAGAGGCAGGTAGAGCTCTGCTTCAGGCCACGGTAGTCTACAGAGCGTTCCAAGCCAGTTAGAGTCACACACACACACAACTGGGAGATCAGCAGGAATAAGAAGAATAGTAAACATTCAGACCTGGGCATGGTGGTACATACCTGTAATCCCAACATTTTAGAGATAAAAGCAGGAGAATTATAAGGACAAGGTCAAATTTGAAGACAGTTTGGGCTATGGGAGACCTTGTCTCAAAACAAACGCAAAATTTTCAAAGATGGAGCTGGAGAGATGGTTTAGCAGTTAAGAGCACTTGCTACTTTTGCAGAGGACTGAAGTTTGGTTCCCAGTACCCATGCCAGGCAACTCACAACCTCCTGTAACTCCAGCTTCTGGATTCCAAAGGCATCCACAAGCATGTTCTCCCCCCCGCCCCCCCCCCCCCCCCCCAATCACACACACACAAACACATTTTGTTTTTAAGACAAGGTTTCTCTGTATAACAGTTCTGGTTGTCCTGGAATTCACTTCATAGACCAGGCTGGCCTTGAACTAACAGAGATCCACCTGCCTCTGCCTCCCGAGTGCGGGGATTAAAGGAATGAACCACCACTGCCCGTCCCACAAACACATTTTATAAAGAAACAAAATGGGGTTGGAGAGATGTTTCAGTGGTTAAGAGCACTTGTTGCTCTTACACAGATCCTATTCCCATACAGTAAAATAAAGAAGACTAAAAACAATAACTACAAAAAGAAAAATGATGCTGGGCGGTGGTGGCGCATGCTTAATTAAATTAAATTAAATTAAATTAAGCACTCCCCAAAAAAAGACCAAAAGTCACCAGGTGGCGCATGCCTTTAATTCCAGCACTCAGAAGGTAGAGGCAGGCGGATCTCTGTGAGTTCAAGGCCAGCCTGGTCTACAGAGTGAGCTCCAGGACAGGCTCCAAAACTACACAGAGAAACCTTGTCTCAAAAAACCAACAAACAAGAAAGATGAGGTCAGATCTGCTACTTAACCTGGGTATTTACGGCTTTAAGTCTAGCCTCGATCCTACTTCCCCCCTGCTGTCTCTCACATCTCACAACCTACACTTAACTTCTGCTCTCTCGCCTTTTTGTTTGTTTTTCAAGACAGGGTTTCTCTGTGCAGCCCTGGCTGTCCTAGAACTCACGCTGTAGCCCAGGCTGGCCTCGAACTCACAGAGATCTGCCTGCCTTTGCCTCCCTAGTGCTGGGATTAAAGGCGTGTGCCACCACCGCCTGGCTTTTGTTTTCTTTTTAAGACAGGATCTTACATGAGTTTAGGCTGCTATTGAATTCAAGAACTTCCTATCAGGCTGGAGAGATGGCTCAGAGGTTAAAAGCACTGGTTGCTTTTCCAGAGGTCCTGAGTTCAATTCCCAGCAACTACATGGCGGCTCACAACCATCTATAATGAGCTCTGGTGCCCTCTTCTGGCCTGCAGGCATACATGCGGGCAGAACACTGTATACATAATAAATAAATACATCTTAAAAAAAAGAGTGCTAGGATTACCAACTTGCACTACCTTAAAAAAAAAAAGAACTCCCTATCCCAACCACTGAAGGCTGGAGTGTAAGAGTGTAAGCATGTACCATGGTACACAAGTACTTCTGCATTTGTTTAAAGATACCTTATTTGCACCAAAACTACACAGAGAAATCCTGTCTCGAAAAACCAAAAAACAACAACAAAAAAGATATCTTATTTGTTAGATAACATGGCATTTTAAAAATTTATAACAAACAATGATGAGACAATTCAGTCCCTGGTCCTATTACTAATGATAACATCATATAATAATAAACATCATATCTTTTTATTTATTTGTTTGTTTGTTTTTGAGCTAGGGTCAAGGTCTGACCTATTAGACTGTGCTGGCTCCATCTCCCAATGTTGGGCTTATAAGTATGAGCCTTTACATCATCTATTACATCTTAAATCATCACCAGTAAGTATTAATTGCTCATTAACTAAATACAATATTTTACTATCTAATAAGTGATAAAGAACATTACTCACCTGATTTTTATTTTCTTTCCTTGCTTCTGGATTCAGGTGGGCTTTCAAGGCTCTTAACAACTTGTCTGCCTGTAAGAAAGAACAGCTCATCATTACAGTCAAAGTAAAAAAAAGCAAGAAATCTATGCCAAACACCTTTTTTCTTCTGTTTATTGACTGTACTCTGGTCAGGCTGGCAGACTATAAAAATTGCCTGGATAGAACTAGATTTCACACCCCAGGGGCAATATCAGGTAAAGAAAAAGACATACAGTGCAGTACAATGGGGTAAGGATGTGAGGAAGCTTTGGATATTGTGGGCTTGGCAGATCCAATGTCAGCAGGTGATGGGATGCCCCAGCTTTAAGACAGATGTCCTGGCTGGGGCTACTGAGATCTTGAGAATGGAGAAGAGAGAGTCAAACAGAGAGAACAAGATGGAGGAAAAGCAAGGCAAAGAAAACAGGGCCGATGATGACTAAGTTCAGCATGACTGGAACACTGAGCTAACAGAAAGGAGGGTAAGAAAGAAGTTAGAAAAGTAGTCAGGAGCACAATTTTGCTAGCTTGGCCTGCCTCATAAGGCTTCTTGAGTATAAACTCTGTCCTCAAGCAAAGGGCAGTCTCTGAAGAGTTGGCTTCAGAGGGCAGCAGGTGACTAACTTGATGCTTAGGAAATCTGAACTGCGTCCTGAACTGGAGAGATGGATGAAAACCTCGAACGAAGTAAGCCAGCAGGAGTATCAAGCTGAGTAGGGAAATTTTTAGGGTCCAGTTTCTCTGGTGGGCAGGGGGCATCCTGTAGTGGGGGTCTTACAAGTCCTGGGGAAGAGGGAACTCCTGGACTCACTTTCCATTCTAGGAAAGCTTCCCTGTTCCTTTCTGGAAGACAAATACTGATCTGAGTGGCTTTCCTTTTTTAAAAGTTCAAATGGAGTCAGGCATAGCAATTTCCTGAGATTTCTAGGCTAACCTGGGCTACAGAATGAGACCCTATTTCAAAACAATCAAAGATCAAGTATATTTGTTAGGTTCTTTTTCCCCACTACAACCAGGGATGCAGTTGAGGGCCAAACATTTTTTAAAAAATAATAATTATGTTTGTATTTTTAAAAAAAAATTCTTAGCTGGGCATGATGGTACATGCTTTTAATCCCAAGCACTCAGGAGACAGAGGTTGGCAGATCTCTATGAGTTTGAGGCCAGCCTGGTCTACACAGTGAATTCCAAGACAGCCAGAGCTATATAGTAAGACCCTACCTCAAAATAAAAAAGTAAAATAACTTAAATTTTTTTTTCAAGACGGTTTCTGTGTAGTCCTGGCTGTCCAAGGACTCGCTCTGTCAACAAGACTAGTCTTGAACTCACAGAAATCTGCTTGCCTCTACCTCCTGAGTGTTTGGGATTAAAGGCATGTGCCACCATTGACTGGCTTAAAAATTTTTTAATTAAAATATAATTACATAACCTCCTCTGCCCATTCCTTTTCTCCCTTCAACCTCTATCCATGTACCTGGCCTTGCTCTTTCTCAAATTCATGACTGTTTTTTAATTGTTACACACACACAAACACCTAAGTATATAAATACAACCTGCTCAGTCCATGTTTCTTGTGTGTATATCACTCTATACACTTAAGATGGGCTCAACCTCTGGGCTTGGCTTTCCTTCTCACGCAATTTACCATTAATCAGTAGTAAATGGCAAAGCTTGAAATTTGCCTGCCCTTTAAGTACAGAAGTTTTGATGGGGTGTGAGCCTAAGCCACATGCTTCAACTGTACTAGACATCTCTGCATGAAGCCATCTAGCTATTAATAAAATGATTCTTATTTCCTACTCAATAAATCTCACCTGAGGTTTCCTCTCAGAAGAGGTAACCCAGGTCTTTTTTGTTGTGTTTTTTTTTTTTGTTTTTTCAAGACAGGGTTTCTCTGTGTAGCCCTGGTTGTCCTAGAACTCACTCTGTAGATCAGTCTGGCTTTGAACTCAGAGGTCTGCCTGATTCTGCCTCCCGAGTACTGGGATTAAAGACCTGTGCCACCATGCCCAGCTAGGTACAAATTTTTATTTATTTACTTATGTATGTGTGTGTGTGTGTGTGTGTGTGTAAGTATTTGGGCAGGTGTGCCGCAGTGCATGTGTGGAGTTCAGAGGACAATTTTGTAGAGTCGATTCTCTCCTTCAACCATGTGGGTCGCAACACCAGGTTTGTGTGCTAAGAAGTGTTCTAGGAGCTAGAGAAACTGGTGAACAGAACAGACAAGCCTTCTGCTGCTTCCCATTGGACTAATGGGGAAATAGCTTATTAACCAAGTAAGCTAGAAATACCACATCAGGGGCTAGGAAGCAAAACCTAAACTACGAGATAGAGGTGGGATAGGTGCTCAATCAGGTGGCCAGCTGAGATGAAAAGGAGATCAAAAGCAGCAGATGTAGTCTGATAAACAATTATAGTTAGGCCAGAGGTGGTGGTACAAGCCTATAGACCCAGGGAAGGTTGAGGCATGAGGATCCTAAATTCCAGACTAGTCTAAGCTGTATACTGTTTTCTAGGATAGCCTGGACTATATAATGAGACTTTGCTTCATAAAAAAAAAAAAAAAATCCAGCTGGGTGTGGTGGTGGACACTTTTAATATCCCAGCACTTGGGAGGCAGAGGCCAGCTGAGCTCTGTGATCTTGAGGCCAGCCTGGTCTACAGAGCGAGATCCAGGACAGCCAGAACTGTTACACAGAAAAACCCTGTCTTGAACAGCACCGCAACACACACCAAAAAAATCCAACCAGATAGCAAAAACCTGAGGGCCTAAACTTTATTAAGCTATGTAACTCTGAAACATTTCCAAGTACTCTTCATTGCCATTCAGAGAGACCTGAGAGGCATCTATGGCCTCAGTATTCTGTTTAAACCATTTAAAAACATTTGTGATGATTAAAGAGACATTTAGTGCAAATATCAGTTGCTGTACAAATTTCTGGGGTACACGTGTGGGAAATCTCAACTCCAATATAGTAAGTCCCAATTTCACAATGAATCACATTTTCTCTGAACACCTTGCAAAAGTCCTTACCGGTTTTAAAAAAAGAACACCATCACAATAGTGACCAGTGTATGGGCAATCATACTGTATCCTGATGGCTAGGCATCCCAATAAAGGCCTGTGAGAGTGCAGGTACTATCATAGTTTACTAAACAGTAGTAGTTTGGGAGTTTTACAGAAGGCAATTCAACTTTTTCTTCAACTGCCTAATAACCGGCATTAGACAGTACATTGATTACGTCTTATGGGTCTGCATTTCCCATCTGGTACCAGGGAATTATTAATTTCCAGTAAGAGGCCTTTGGAAAAAGTCAGCCTCCAAATAAAGTAACAGCCATGGCTTCTCTTCCGTTTAACAAATTCCAGCCACCGTGAACCAAACCTACTCACCCAAAAACAGCGTCCCCCGGGGGTTTCCTCTCAGTCTCTTCGCCCGGTGTCCCCTACACTCCAGGTATCTTCTACCCCGCCCACCCAACTGCCCGCACCACCAGTCAGCACCGTACCCTCAGGTTAGCCCGGAGGCCCAGCCTTTTGGCTAAATTTTGCAGGTCACTGTACTTGAAGGAGTCCAGCTCCTCTGCAGAGGGGACCGTCATCGCGTTCTGCAATCCCGGCGACACCCAGAAAAACAGCCAGACAACTCAAACAGCACCGTTCAAAACTGGCGCCACCCGAGGCGTTGACAAGCCGACTTTTATAGTCAGTTTAAATGAAGACTGCTGCACATCCATTGGTTGAACGCCTCGAGGGTTTTCAATGCTGGCCAATAGAACGGCTGAAGCGCGCTACACCGCACGCCTAACTAATTAATACGCAGGCGCGCGACAGCTTGTGGGCGTGTCTTAAGGCATGTTGTCCAATGAGAATGCAGGTAAACTTCAGTTGGGTGGAACCTGGCGCGTGCGCAAAACGGAGGCGCGGGGCTTCAAAAAGATGGCGGCACGCTCGCGGCGCCGCCCCTTGCTACTGGAGACACGGTCTTGCAGTGATTCTAGTGACACGCCGTTTTCTTTTACTAACTCCATGGAGTGGGACACTCAGGTGGTGGATGGGTCCTCCCCTCTGGGCCCTTCCGGGACTAAGGTGGAGGCGTCACTCGTCGACCTGCGGCGTCCTGCGTGGTTGGAACCAGAGAGGTGTGCCGTGTTCCACTGTGCGCACTGCCACGCGGTGCTCGCCGACACCCTGCATCTCGCCTGGGATCTGTCCAAGTCTCTCGGGGCCGTGGCTTTCTCCCGTGAGTGAGGCGAGGGTTGGCGTCTGAGAAAGGCAGGCCGGGGCAGGAGGAGAGGTGAGGGAGCCGTGGTTTTGTTTTCCGGAACTGGACCTCGCATGAGCTAAGCATGCGTCTTTGGCTGAGCCCCACCCGTTTTGTTGGCTTTTATGGTGGGAGGTTCTCCTGTTCAAAACCCGTTTGTCTTCCAGGAGTCACGAACAACGTCGTTTTATTAGAGCCCTTTCTGGTTGGCATTGAAGGTTCTCTCAGATGCAGGTACGTGTGGAGAATTCCTGAGGTGGATCTATAGTTCCTGATTTAATGACACTGAGGAGTACCTAATTGTCGTGAGCAAGAAGAAAACTTTATTTTTGTTGTGACCTAAGTTTATTCTCTCCATACAGTATGTTTCAATGATATACTTTTTATGCGTTTGAATCATAACAAGGCATTAATGAAATGAAAATTAGGGTTGGGTATATGTTTTAACATCTGAGGTCCATATCCTGTGAGATAACTAGGACTATTTAATTTTTTTTTTGTTTGTTTTTTTTTGTTTTTGTTTTTGTTTTTCGAGACAGGGTTTCTCTGTAGTTTTGGTGCCTGTCCTGGATCTCACAGAGATCTGCCTGGCTCTGCCTCCTGAGTGCTGGGACTAAAGGCGTGCGCCTCCAACACCCGGTTAGTTACATAAAATATCTTAATTTTACAAAATCATTTTTGTTCTTAGTAATACGATCTTGCCTTGACTTTACAATTCTGCCTCTGCCTCCCAAGTGCTGGGGTCTCAAGTATGGGAGCCTACAACAAATTTCTTAAAAGAAGCCCGATAAAAAGTTTTAATTCTATATTTGGACATGTGCTATAGCTCAGAAGTAGTGCTTACCTAACTTGTGTGCCGTGCTAGAGTTGGTACTTCAAGAAAAGTACATACAAGAATAGAGTTCGATTTCTGTTTCACATTATAACCTAGAAATAGTTTTACTCTGTTTATTTAGTGTGGGTGTGGGCATTCACATACTAAGGTGCACATATGAGGGTGAGAGGCCAGCTTCCAGGAGTCAAGTCTCTCCTGTCTGCATCTCCTGAGGATCAGACTCAGGTCATTAAGCTTGGTAGCTGTCCCTCTAGCCCTGATTCCCTCACTGTATTCATCTCTTGTTTGTACTCTCGTTGAGGTAAATGGTCATTTTTACTAGTGCACTTGAGATCTTGAGATGCCTTTTTTTAGTATCTTTGAACTCAGTAGTTGATTATTAGTTCATGTTGTATATGATATTAAGAAAGTTTTATTGGATTACTGTGTATTGATACTTAAAGCTTTAGCCAAGGATGGTGGTTCCTTTAATCCCAGCACTCAAGAAAATAGGCAAGAGTAGAGGAAATCTTTATTCCACTTCACTGCCTGTTGCTATTATGTCTTGTCTTCCAGATTGACAGAATATTATAATGAATAGAAATTAAATCTAATTGACCTTGTTCTAGATAATGAAATGGAGATGCAATTGTATTTGTTTAATATATAGAAGTCAATGCTTTAAGTCCTCCAGTGGCCCAGCAAGCTATATGATGCTAACTCTTTAGCATGAAGCAGAAAAACCCCAAACATCTTAAGGACAGTAGTAATTTTTTTTATAAGGTAGGGAGCCATGAATTATACAAGTGATCTGAGGAAGTATAGAATAATTGTTTTTGTCATAAATTATGTTCTTTGTTTTTGTTTCTTTGAGACAAGAGTCTTCTATAACCCTGCTGTCCTTGGATGCTGGTGAACTTGAACTTCAGATCCTCCTGCCCGTGGTAGTTTTTATTTCTTCTCTGGGTTTTCCTTATTTTATATTCTGCTTCTTCCATTCCCACCAGCACATACAACCTTCTGTTCTGTAATTCCTGTGGGGTTCCTGTTGGTTTCCATCTGTACTCCACCCATGCTGCTCTGGCTGCCCTCAGAGGTCACTTCTGCCTTTCCTGTGATAAAATGGTGTGGTGAGTAGAGAGAGATTATTTATCAAATAAGGTTTTTAAAATTTTCTAGAAAAGTCCAGGTGTTTATAACCAGAGAAGATGCAAAAGGCCAGGCACTATTTATTATACACATACCTGAAATAAAGACAAAATACAAACCTGTGATAAATATGATTATTTTATTTAGATGCTTTATTGTACCATGTTTTAATAGTCATATAGAATAATTTAAGAGTATTCTTTCATTAAGGGAAATTCTGGAAGGTATGCTTTTGCGAAATAGTGTCATATATAACTTCATTTACTGCTGTGCCTCTTACCCTTCTCGTGGATAGGACTTGGCCTACACGGTACCCAGCCTGAAAGAAATATACATGTGTATTTATTCCTGATCCATTGAAGCCAGTCAGCTTTTCTCCCTCAGGAATTTGAAATGAGGTTGTCTAGTGACAGGACAGCATACCTGACAGAAGTGACCTACGGAAGGGAGGGCTTACTGTGGCTCACATCTGAGGGTACAGTCCATCATGGTGGGAAGCCATGGAGGAGGTGACTGGTCGTATTGTGTCAGCAGTCAAGAAGCAGAGATTGGAGCTAATGCTCAGCTTGCTTTTTCTCTCTCATTCTTTTTTAAATGATTTATTTTTATTTTTTATGTGCATTTGTGTTTTATATGTATGTATATATACGTGAGGGTGTAACTGGAGTTACGCACAGTTGTGGGCTGCCATGTGGGTGCTGGGAACTGAACCCAGGTCCTCTGGAAGAGCAGCCAGTGTTCTTAACCACACTGGACCATCTCTCCAGCCCTTGCTTTCTCATTTTTATTTTTAGTCCAATACTCCAGCCCATGGCATGGTGCTACTCACATGTAGAGGGGGTCTTTGCACCTCAATTAAGCTAATCTAGATAGTGCTTCATAGCAGCTTGTCTCCTTTGCCATCCCAGATCTGCCAAGGTGATAATATTAACCACGGGGACCTAGAGTCATTTTTAGATGATACTGGTGCTGAACTTGAAAAGTGAATACTCCACACTATTTTCTGCACTTTTCTCCAGATACAGAGAAAAATCTTACCTGATGAAAAAGATTATTGAAATGAAGAATAGGGTGTAGTAATGCCTGTGATCTCATTTACTTTTTTCCCATAGATTTCATTGGATATTTCATCATTTTCCTAACTAATGAAACATTTGACTTAAGGTGTTTTAAGAAATTGAAAGTGCTGGAGAAACAGCTCAGAGGTTAAAATTACTTACAGCTCTATCAAAGTACCGGAGTTCAGATTCCAGCACCCACCTTCCTCTGTCTCCCAAGTGATGGGATCAAGGTGCACACCATCATACCACATACCATCATGCCCAGCCTTTAGTGAATTTTTCACCCATGGTAGTTATTCATTTGATTCTGGATTTGTTTTCAGTTTTCCTGAGAGATAATTTTGTCTCTGAGAATGGGGAAGGATGAGGCAGAGTTTGTGGTTTTAATTGAGAATTTGTTTTTCCAATGAAATACACTATGATCCTTGAAGCCATTGAATAGGCAGGCTTTGATTCATTGGTAATGGTACTAATACTTTCTCTATATATTTTCTCTTTAGTTATCTCTTAAAAACAAAGACCATAGTAAATGCATCTGAGATGGATATTCACAATGTGCCTCTACCAGAAAAGATTGCAGAGGTAAACTTGGTTGTGTAGTTACTTAATAAACACAACTTTTTTGTTTTCTTTTTGGAGACAGGATTTTTTTTTTTTTTTTTGGTTTTTCGAGACAGGGTTTCTCTGTGTAGCTTTGCGCCTTTCCTGGAACTCGCTTTGGAGACCAGGCTGGCCTCGAACTCACAGAGATCCACCTGGCTCTGCCTCCCGAGTGCTGGGATTAAAGGCGTGCGCCACCACCGCCCGGCCTGGAGACAGGATTTTACTTTGTAACTGTGACTTGGCCCTCATATTAACTACAGAAATCAGGCTGTCCTAGAACTCAGCTTTATCCTTTCCCTTGATATAGGCAATTTTTAAGTGGATGTGTGTGTTGTGGGTTTTTTTTTTAAATATAGATTTATTTTTTATTTTAAATCTGGTAACATTATAACCAGCAGATTGAGGATTGAGTGAGGAGTATAAGAATCCTCGAGCCGGGCGGTGGTGGTGCATGCCTCAGGCAGAGCCAGGTGGATCTCTGTGAGTTCAAGACCAGTCTGGACTACCAAGTGAGTTCCAGGAAAGGTGCAAAGCTACATAGAGAAACCCTGTCTCGAAAAACAAAAACAAAAACAAACAAACAAAAAAAAAAGAATCCTCGATCTCTGTCTCTTCCCAGCTGAAAGAGAAGATAGTGGTAATGCATGCTCGTTTAAATTCACTGATAGAGATTTTGAAGGAAGTGACTCCTCATCAGTCTAATCAAGAAAAGTGAAGAAACAAGGTATGAGTACAGAACTTTCTCCCATCTTCAGCAACAGGGCCGTTTGTCATTTCTTTCTTCTTTAAAGATCTTTCTGTGTGTGTCTGTGTGTGTGTGTGTGTGTGT